AAAATCAGATTCAGTGAGTCGTAAAGATGATACTTTCAATGAATCAAGATTAGGCAATGAACATATAATTCTTGTTAATAGTTCAGTAGAAACCCCCGTGCAATTAATATTCAAACGAGATATAACAACATCTTGAGTGTTGTTATAATCAGTATATTGGTTAAAAAATGTGCTGATTTCTGTATGCTTATAAATATCAATCAGTGTATCCCTAAAAATAGGACCAATTTATTGAAAATAAAAGATTTTTTTATATACCTGACTGAATGAATTAAACAGTTAATATGGTCATTCTCAATCATATATTCAAAAATCCATTGATGTTCGGTCCAGAATGGCGATGTAAATCGATTCAATGATTCATTGAGAAAGTTATTTTCTGAGAAATTTAAAAGATCACCATAATATTCAAAGTTGAATTTGTGTAAATAGGGCATGTATGTATTAATCAATCGTTCCCATCGATCAGCATCAAGATAATCTGTATATAAACAGTGTGTAGTACTGAAAACTTGTACATTAGTAGAATATCTTTTTATGAATGTTTCTAATTCGTCAAATTCTAATAAACAAAAATTAAAGTGTACATTGGTCAAATTAGGTAATACAATTGGTTTTTCAATATTAATGACATCGTCATGCGATTCTATCAAACGGTCGCAACAGAGATAATGAAGTCGAGGTGTATGATAAAGTATAGAAATAAGTTCATTAAGAGTACATTCATGATTGATAGTAAGGTATTTAATAGTACTGACACTTTCGTTGATGGCAAAAGGTATGGAAATATTTAATTCTTCACTTGTTTCCCATGCCAATTGATTGTATTTCAAAACAGGTAAAGAGAGAATTATTCGATAAGTATCACTGAAATAAAAAGGTCCTCGTTTATTGACATGTGCACTCAATGAGAATAAACGAGGAAGTGATTTGAAATAACTGAGTAAAGCCAGAAGTTTTGCAGATGAAATTTCAAATAGATTAATACATTTAAGAGAAGCGAATGATGCATCAATAATACAGTATCGGAAAAATTCATCGATAAAAAAATCTTTGAATAGATCTAATGAAACAATACGATTTCTACTTGGAAGAATAACATTTTTACAATAATATTTGAGTTCTGATTCTGATTCAAAAGCAACTTGAATTTTTAATGGTATTGGTGAGTCATTAATAAGATGCTGAAAAAGAGTATTTAGTTTAGAAAATGCTTTGTAAATATCGCAACCATCAAGATATTCAAATATCTGATAAGAAAGTTCATTTGGTAACTCTTCAATACACGTAATAGATCTCCTTTTTGAAATAGAAATATTATTGTCAAGAAGAAATAATGTTTTTTTTCTACTTACGATTGTTCATTATATGTTGCTATAAAATTCAATAAGAGATACACAAAATTTTTTTTCATTATCATATATATGCAATTATTAACTTACTGCGTAATTTCTTCGTTTGCGGCTCGAAAGAATCGCGACTGCATAATTGTTCTCTAGTGCGAGTCATGTTTGCAGCAGTAGAATTACGTATAATCTACAAAATGAATAAATCATAAAAACGAAAAACATATATATATCATATAGCGTGTAGTTTTGGTTATTTCCTACATTAGTCATACAAATATACTGTGATCTAAAGCAAATAGAAACAGGGAAGGCGTTTTTTCCTTTTTGGCAATTTACAGTTTCTCATCACCTTTATGTTTGAACTACTGTCTCAAGGGAGAAAAACCTGATTTAAATCAGACAAAAATCAAATTAATCATTTTAAATCACAAAAATCATAAATCGCTTTTTCCCCTTTGAGTTGTCTTCTCTTTTTCTATATCAGAATGCCTATAATGATTCATCTAACAGAAAGAAACAGCGAAATTTAATACAACATACATATTTGCGTAAAATAACTTTCAAAACAATAGAATTGAAAAAAATAGTGAAGTAAAATATATGAGATCAGCATAACTCATACACAAAGTCGATGGGTGTGTGCGTGTGTCTCTTATTTTAATCCACACCCTATTATGAAAAATAAAAATTATTTTGTATATTATTTACAGAGCTATATAGGAGTATAGAAACAAATAATATAACACAGATAAAATTTGACAATTAAGGTAGTATTTTAACTTTAGACGTTTACGATTAGGTGTACATAGTTTATGGTACTATTATTAAACAACATGCTTCGATATTAATGTTTCTGGCATAGCAATGCGTAACAAAATAAATCCAGCTGTACCAAAAATAGATAGAGTCATGAATCCATAGTTAAAACCATAATGTTCTACAATAGTTCCGGTCACTGAATTACTCAATGTATAACCAATTCCAGATGATACACTGAGTACACCAAGTAGAAGATTGAATCGACCTGTCCCATGAGCTAAATCAGCAACTACTAATACAATAACTACAGCGTAGATAGCCGCTGCGATACCGTCAAAAATTTCAGCTGCAATGAGAAGTATAGGATTATGTGTTAGTAGACATACTAATCCACGTAAAGGTACTGCTGCCCAGCCAATAAGTAACAATGGTTTACGACCCCAAATATCTGCATAACGACCAACCCATGCAGCTAATGATGCACTAATAAGTTGAGTAACAACAACACATGCTGACATAAAAGCTGATGATGCACCTGGTGAACGATCACGAGCAAGTAATTGAACCATAGTTGGAAGCATAGATGCATTACCAAAATGAAATAAGATAACACAACTGAAAAATATTAAAAGACGTCGATCACGAATAATTTGTAGTAAAAGTATTCGAAAACTAACGATAGTCACGCCGGTTTCTGATTGTCCTGCAGCACGACTACGTTCATAATTAATTTCATGTTGACGAATACAGAATAATGCTATTAACGTTGGAATCGATACACCGGCAACAAAGAAAAAGATAGATTGAGTAGAAATATAATAACCAAGAAGTCCCATAACTATAGCTGATATAACATTGCCTGCTGCACCAAATGCTTGATTACGACCAATACGTGTTCCAAGATTTAATTGTCCAACTAGACCAAGTGAAATAGCTGAAATAGCAGGACAGAATAAGGGTTCGACAATCCCTAGTATCACTTGACCGATAACAACAAGCCAAAACATAGGCCATAGAGCAAAAATCATAGCAGTTATTGGAACAATAATAACTCCAATAGCAATTAGAAGTTGTTTGTTATGTATACTATCTACTAATGCACCCATTGGTATTTGAGATATCATAGTAGTAAAACTAGAAGCACTGAGTGCAAAGCCAATTCTTTGTGGTCCCCAACCTTTTCCTGTAAGATAAGCACTTAAAAATGAATCGACACCATTAAGAACATCCGAGAGAAAAAAATTGAACCAATCAAGTCCAAGTTGACTACGTCTAGAAGGTTTGGGGCAAATATCATCTTCATTATTATGATCCTGTATAACTGTACTGCTATCTTTCATTGTCATTTCTAAACTACCAGTAGTTGACATTGATCTATACAATATGAAAAAGAAAAATATTAGAATTCTACATCATCATATATAGTTTCAAAATGCAATGAATATTGATGATTACTTTAACAATATGTTAAATTATATCATGGATAGACAGTCTATAAAATTAGAAAAAAACTTGTTTATAATGACACAATAGATAGCATATCAATGGTATTAATTCATTTAAAAAAGTAAATTTCAGATACACACAAAAAAAAATAATTTTCTAAAACGATTTATAACTGTAAGAAAAATAATCTTGAAAACTTACCCTAAGATTTACACCGGCCAATTTTTATCTTGAAAAATATTTAATGTTTCTATAAAGATATATACTCACATAGATTTATACTCTTTTCATTCTTAAGTTAAAGTTAATACGACGAGTAAACCAGTGCACGTGTATTTTGTTATTGAGTTATATACAGGTGTTGTTTTTCTTCTTTACATTGATATTATATCGTCTGGTTATGTAATCGGCATTGCAAACACATTTCTTTTTCTATTTAAATTTTAATCTTAAGATATTATTTTTATGTCGTCGAATACGTTTTTTTCCAAAAAGCTTTTGCTTTTACTGCTACTAAATAAGATACTTTGATAATGAAGAGTTAATTTGATCTCTTGTTCTCTCATGATTCATCTTTTCCTATCGACATTTTTTCGTTATAACTAAAAATTTACAAAAATATATTACAATGTGAAAAAAAATGATAGTATACATAGATGAATAATTCCTGTTACAATAGAAATTCAACAATTATTCTTTGTTTGACTATCAATCAATATCAAGTATTTCTTTCAAAATCTTGATAATGATATGGAATTTATAGATGAAAAAGTTTGTATGTTTTTTCATAAGATAATAATAAATGAGCCTCGTGTACTTATATGTTTTTTATGTCATTTAAATAGAAGTACATTTCAACATATAGAATCGAATTGTTAGATGAAAATTTTCAAGTAATAATAGATTAGAAATTGTACTATGGATAATAATAAAAAGTTTTAATGAAATTTAATTTGTTGAAAAATTGTTCCTACGTATATTTTGATATAAATAAGTGCTCTAAACTGTGTTTAATCGCACGAAGTTTAACTAAACTCAAAACGTGTCAATATCGTTCATGCACGATATTTTGATTGTGATTATAGATGAGAAGATTTTAACACTGTTTCCACTGTTGATGGAGACAGTATAGAGGTTAGAAGGTATAATTATGATTGTTAAACAAAGCATTATAGCAAAATTATCATCACCTTCATTTATATTTTATTCTGTTTTGAGAGTGTGAAAGGTAGAAGAATCTATAGGTTGAGTTTATTCGGTATACAGCATGGAGTACACATTAAAAATTGCCTTTCATAAGATGAACATCTATTGAACACAATATAAAACAGACTTCGAATACTAAGTGATTCTCGGTTGCTGGAATATTATTCATATTATATGTATACTATATTTTTTTTCTTATTTTCAAAATTACTGATATCAGAAAATTAATTTATGATTTTTACTACTTTTATTCACACCAAAATAAAATTAGAAACATAATTAACAAGTATTATTATCAAAGCATGATCTTCACGAATATATTTATACATTAAACATAATGACAAGCATTAAATATATCCTCACATCGTGCACAGATTGAACAGCATTCATTTAATTGATAAATTAAGCATTGATATTAATAGTACTGATAGCATGATTTTGTTCTATATTGTCTTTCACTGCTTCTTGCTGATTGTTTTCGTCTTCTCGTACTGTTGTCAAATCTTTACGGACCATTTTAAAGATCAATCGTTTGACTTCCAATCGAAAAGCTTTTGATACACAAACAAATATAAAGAAACTTGTACAGTAAGGAATGTAATGAAGAATAGCACCAAAATTATTTAAAAAGTTGTTTATAGCTTGTTCCCTTAACGTTAATGCTTCCATATGTAATGTGGTACTGTAACATACACTAGCCCCTACCAAAAGACTACAGACAACATAAATAATATTCTGAATATATAGACAACGAAGTAACTGAAAATCTTTTTTGTTCATTGTTCGAATTTGACGACGTTCTTGTCGTGGTATAGCTCGTATACGACGAACATTTTTAAAAGCAATAGTTGATAGAATAATTAAAACTAGAGGTATAGAAACAGTCATTATTAATGTTGAGTATAGAACAAACGATTCATAATATTGTGAAAGATCATAATAACAAATAAAAACTCCTGGATACATTTCTTGAATATTAACTTTAACGAGTATGTGTGAAGCGAAAGTACTACAGATAAATGTAGCTATAGATGTAGAAAAATATGCCATACGTTTTGAACTATACAAACGTGTATCAATATTTTGAGATGAAATTAACAAACGATCAATAGATGCAAGAATAAGTATAATTGGATAATACGTAGAAGTAAGATAAGATATATAATAGAAAAGTTTACATAAAATCACACTAGAATTTTGAATAGTACTGTTAAAACCGAGAGTAAAAATAGATCCAAGTAAAGTTGAATTAATGAAAATAGTATTTGCAAAGAGGCAAACAAGAAAATAAAAGACACAAACATTTTTTCTCCAAGATCTTTTGAAGAAAACAATGATGGCTAATAAATTACCGATATTTCCAATAATATAAAGAAATATACCGAAATATTTATGAAGATAGATGGGTATATTGTTAAGAATTTCAATGTAATAACTATCGGAAGAAGACATTTTCAAATTCTACTAATACCATTTTTACTATAGGTTTATATAGAAAAGTTAGTGGGGAGGTTTTTTCTTTGTAGTTTTTTGATGCAGATATAATTCGATAATAAGCATGGTGATATTATCACATATGTTTTGAATCATGTTAACATAAAAATATATTATTTCATTCTAATCAACTTTGTTAGGTCTAAGATTTAATAAAAGTAAGTTAAAGCAGGATTGAGATAAGTAGAAGTGTTGATTCCAAACTGTTTTTTTCTGAAATTTTTCCATAGATTAAAGATATGATATAACATCATTTTTCTATTTCAAAAGTCATAATTAGTGTAAACTAATAAATATAGACTGATGTATATTCATCTTATTCATCATAAAACTTGAAAGAGTAAACGAATATGTAATGATGTATATAACTATAGAACAACAATAATGAGACAGAATAATTTATTGTATTTGTACTTATCAAGTACAGGTCAAAAAAACCTTTCGTTGCTTTCATTTTCTTAATGGAATTTCGAAACGTCCATACTAGAGTCATTTTTTTTTATTTTAAGTCAAAGAATATATAAATAAAAGCAGAATGTTAATTATGATAGTAAAAGAAAAGCAAATGAAGATTATAGGCTATAGTAAAATGATATATCTGCATCATTTCATGAGAAAAAAAGGAAAGCAATTTAAATAAACTAATATTTTAAATTTTGAAAAAGTGTTATTAGTAGACATTAATTAAAAATTCAAATTCTTTATAGTTTATTCTCTTTGATGTATCTCTTCTCTTTAGTAAATTCAGAATATTTCAATTAGTAATACAATATTCAAATTTAATTGATTAATTAAGCATTAACATCAATAGTACTGATAGCATGGTTTAGTTCTATATTGTCTTTTACCGCTTCTTGTTGATTGTTTTCTTCTTCTCGTATTGTTGTCAAATCTTTACGGACCATTTTAAAAATCAACCGTTTGACTTCCAGACGAAAAGCTTTTGATACACAAATAAATGTAATGAAATTTGTACAATAAGGAATATCATGAAGAACAGAACCAAAATTATTTAAAAAGTTGTTTAGAGCTTGTTGCAAAGGTGTTGCTGTTTCGTATCTTATTGCAGTAGCATACACTATACCAACACTTAAGACAATATTACAGGTAATATAAATAATATTCTGGATATATAGACAACGAAGTAATTGAAAATCTTTTTTGTTCATTGTTCGAATTTGACGACGTTCTTGTCGTGGTATAGCACGTATACGACGAACATTTTTAAAAGCAATAGCTGACAGAATAATCATGCTAAACGGTACAAGAACAGATTGCACCACAGTGGAATAAGTAAAAAAGTTGAGATAAAATTGTGAAAGATCATAATAACAAATAAAAATCCCTGGATACATTTCTTGAATATTAACTTTGATAAGTATATGTAAAGCGAAAGTGCTCCAGGTAAAAGTAGCTATAGATGTAGAAAAATATGCTAAACGTTTTGAGCTATATAAACGTGTATCAATATTTTGAGATGAAATTAATAAACGATCAATTGATGCAAGAATAAGTATAATTGGATAATATGTAGAAGTAAGATAAGATACATAATAGAAAAATTTACATAAAATCACACTAGAATTTTGAATAGTACTGTTAAAACCGAGAGTAAAAATAGATCCAAGTAAAGTTGAATTAATGAAAATAGTGTTAGAAAATAGACAAACAAGAAAATAAAAGACACAAACATTTTTTCTCCAAGATCTTTTGAAGAAAACGAAGATAGCTAATAAATTACCAATATTTCCAATAATATAAAGGAATGTAACAAAATATTTATGAAGATAGATGGGTATATTGTTAAGAATTTCAATGTAATAATTATCGGTAGAAGACATATTTCACTTCTAACATAGTAAATTAAAATACTTCCTTTTTATATAGTAGAATGGGGATGGGTACTTTTTATTAATTGATTGATATATTTAGATAAATAATTATATAAGAGAAAAACAATTTTCAAAAAGAGCCTTAGTATAATGCCGATATAGAGTGTCTCAACAGGCATGTGATCATATTTAGTCTGATAATACCTAAGCGATTAAAAATAAAGAATCTATTTCAAGACAACTTCATTAATTTCTTGATTATAAATGATGTATATAAACACCGTAGGAGTTTTGAGTAGAAAATTAAATGTCTAAATTTGAGCTTTGAAATGAATTCGAAAGAACGTCTCGATCTGATATTATTTTAGTTATATAATTGATGTTGAGGATGTTTCTACCATGATAAACTTTCTACATGTTCAAAATTAAAAGAACGATGTATGCGCATACTTTTCAACTTAAAATGAGTTCTTTCTATTGTTGAATTTCCGATCGGACAAAAAGATGTTCATTGATGATAAATCTTTCAATTAAAATAAGGTATATAACAAGATATCAATTCCGGTGAAATCTTCAGATAGAGTCTTGAGTTTGAATTTAGAACTAGATCGACTAATTTAAGCAATGTTATTATTCAATCAAGTGTATAAGCATCATTGATTTTTTAATGAATGTTGCTATTTAAATCATATATTCTATTCTATGTTATTTAATTATAGTCAACTTAGAGTCTGGTTTTATAATTGACTTTTAATAATTAAATTAAATGACTTTACTCAAAGATCCTTTTCGAACTGTAATGTTCAGACTCGACACATCTCAAAATAAAGAAACTATATTATGCAATAGACTGCGTCGAATGGTATGCTTTGTTTGATAGTATGTTATGTTCGTCTAATGATTTTGATTCAATCAATTATTTGTTAGTCATCACGATAATGTGTTTGAACTTGGTACTAGATGATACATAGATGAATAAAAGTTACAAAAAACCTCTGATTGTGAGTTCGACAACAATGATGTTTCTAATTAATCATAAATCTCGATTCTTTGACATAGAAAGATAGGTAACAATTAAAGAGAATTATGTAAATGTTCTAATCAGTAAACTATTGATATTATAAACGCTGTTAATAATAGTACTAGGTAGTTTATTTCAATATTCTTTCATATAAAAATACTTCAGACTATACAAAATGTAAGTATTAATAATTAAATAAAAATATTTCATGGAGTGCTTTATAAAGTCTGTGTCAGATTATGGTAAACAAGTTTTTGTGTAATTTCACAACATCCATACATTAAATAATATCTTGTGACATATTCTGTTTTTGAACAAACTAATTACTTCTGATGTTTCCTATTCATCTTTACTGTTCATTGACAGTATATGCTTCTACGTAGTTTATCAAATATATATGGTTTCGATAGATAAAATAAATTACTTCATTTCTAAGCAACAACGTCTTCTAGATGACAAGTTAGTTTTGAATTTGATATATAATATAATAGATATGTGCTTCAGACAATGCGCAAAAATCAACTTCGTCATTCATAAAAAACATTCATTTTATATTAAAAATATTTCAACTTATTAATCTTACAGTTTTATTTTGTTGTATAACAATTATCATTCTTAGTTGATTATTATACATATATATAAATGAGTTCCACCGACAATGATTTTATTAATCTACTCACTAACATTAACATCTTTATTAATAAATATATTGATCCAGTATTTTATATTTTGGGTAATATTGGTAATTTATTAAGTATTTTGATATTTCTAAAGAAATCTTGGAAAAAAAATGTTTGTGCGTTCTATTTTATAATTTATATTCTTTACAGTACATGTTTTATTAATTCTACTATGCTTGCATCAATTTTTATTGATGGCTATAATATTAATATACAAAATACAAATGTTGTTTTATGTAAAGTCTACCTCTATGTGGCATTTCTGTTTGCATCAGTTACACCAAGCATTCTTATTCTTGCATCAATTGATCGCTTATTAATTTCATCTCAAAATGTTGATACACGTTTATATAGTTCAAAACGCTTAGCTTATTTTTCAATTAGTATAAGTACAACTTTCTGGATGATATATCATGTTCATCTACTTGTTAAAGTTAATATAGTAGAAATATATCCATCAATCTTTGTTTGTTATTATGGCCTTTCCGCAACTTATGTGAATTATATTTTTTATTCTGTAATGGTCATGAATGTTAGTTTTGCTATATTGATGACTTTTTTATCAATATTATCGTTTAAAAATGTTCGTCAAATTCGAATTCTACCACGTCAACAACGAGGTCAAATTCGAACAATGAAAAAGAAAGATTTTCAATTACTTCGATGTTTATTTGTTCAAGGCATTATTTTCACCTTTTTCTGTATCTTCATAGCTGCAGATTTTACATATCAAGCAGAAGAAAGAGATCGAATACAAATACCCAGGAACGAAGCAATTAGTACGTTCATATATAATTTGTTTACTACACTTTATAATATTCCGTTTTGTGCTAATTTTTACGTATTTGTATCATTCTCAAAAGCTTTTCGTCAAGATGTAAAACAATTGGTTCGTAAAATGCTTGCTAAAGATACCATAGCACCACGAGAAGAAGAACCAAATAATGGAGAAAATATAAATTCTAAAGCTCCTGGTGCCAATCCTGCTGCAATATCTAATTAATTATGAAGTACATACCAATTGAACTCGGGTTATGTCAAAGAAATGGAAGTATTTTCTATGTATTTTTAATTATCTTGTGATGATAACTTCACATTGTGCCAAGAAAATAGAGGGACATCCTTTCAAATAACCTCCCACCCTTTTTTCTGCTGTTCGACATTTATCTTTTTCTTGTCCTGCATCTTTCGCTTGTTCTCTTTCTTTTCTCTTATTCTCTTTCTTTTTTCGTATTCTGGTTTTTATGATATGCTCAGTCTCAATACGAACACGAGAGACGAAGGTTGACTCAACGTGGCGATACAAGAACTATTCTGAGTTGTGTGTATAGACTCGAAGACGGAATAGAGCCTGCACCTAGCAGCTCAAACAAGAAACAACAGGAATCACTTTATTATTTTATTATAGTTTTATTGTCGGTGTATTTTCCTTTTATTTATTCAATAAAAGATATTTATTCATTATTTATATACACTCATTCATTTTTTCGTTACCCACATCACTACAAGATAAGCCTGTAAAAAACAGTAAAATAATTTTTTTGGTACAGCCACTAATTATTTTCTTTTAAATAAATATCATGAAATTCTTTCATCTACTATCAATGAAACTTTCCATTTTTACTTCCTATACGATTATGAAATCATGTCTTTTTAAAACTAAATATGTCTTCTAATTATTTCTATGACGGAGTTAGTTATTCTTTTTGAAGGCTTTTATTTGTCATGCATTCATTAATTGAAATAATATATATATTTATTTATTAGGTACATTCATACAACAATAGTACTAACAACACGATTAAGTTCTGTATTCTTTCTGGATGATACTTGTTGATGATTATTACCATATATCCTATAAAAGTGTGGGTGTGGATTAAGAGAAGACACACTCACACTCACTGACCCGTTCAATCAAGTAGAGAAATTGCTTTCATTATAAGCCAATTTGTGACATTTTGATAGAATTAGATCTGTATTGAATCGATTAATTATCTGCTTTGTACTATAATTATGCTGACTTATTTCAACACGCAATCAAATTTTGTTCTTGCCGCATTTCAACTTTTGTTTTATCATTCAAAATATATTTTTAACATAACACAGCATGTTACATTACAGAGACAAACAGAAAAAACATATCAGTTATCAAAAATTGTAACCCTAGTGCTAATAAAATGAAAAGCTAATTTACATAGGTATGAATCGATAGATATGAAGCCGGGCTACATTTTATCTGCCTATAGAAAAAAGCGTGCCATAGTGAGCCTTTTATAGTTCACTATGACACCTTTTCTTTTTAGAGAGTATGCAGAGAAAAAAAATATAATATTGAACGCACCAATAGTGTTGATAGGTTTTGAACAAGATATAATGAATGCTATTAATAATGTATTTCCTCAAGTATTAGTGGAAGAGTGCCACTTTCATTTTGCTCAAAATCTATGGAAAGAAGTAAAAAACTATAGCTCGGTAACATTAGTAAAATAAGAAAATATTCGTCATCAAATACGTAACATGATTGTATTACCATTCATACCTTCAAATGAAGTAAATAATTCTATGGAATAGATTATCAATGAATTGTCTAATTATGAATCAAAATACTTAAGCTGACCAATTATATTACAAGTAACGCTCGTCCGAAGACTCGCTTAGCTCTTTCTCGTAGAAATACATCCTATTCACATTCACTGAAAAAACAACCGAAAACCGTTAAAAATACGTTTTCGATGTTTTTTTGACTTTCGCATTCTCTTTACCCCCCCCCCCCCCCCCCTCTCATCATGGTCACCCAAAAAACCCCAGATTCGAACTCCCCGCATCAAAAAACCTATAGAAATGTTTTTTTCGAAAAATAGGTTTTCGATGTTTTTTTGACCCTGCGGACACACAATCAATCAGACAATTTATGTTTACTGGACTCTTCACTACGAGAAAGAGACAAAGACTTATATTAAAGATGCTCAATTTCCTATATCTATGTGAAATCTTTTTGATACTATTGAGGAACGACCACATGCGAATAATTATTTAGAAGGTTATCATCGACAACTAAATGCAAGAGTACGAACAAATCCTGATCTGCGGACATGGCTTAATGAAGTAAAATCGTCAGAAGAGTCTGTTATGTATCGTTATGAACAATAACAAGCACAAAAAAGAACAACAAGACCGAGAAAAGAAAAATATATACAACATTATGCTAAACTTATATTAGCACAGAAATTAAAGGTATAAACTAATGATTTTAATGCTTATCAAAAAGTTTTAAGATCTGTCTTCCATCGTAACATCAAAATTATAAAAGATGTTAAAGATAGTAGTGATGAAGAATAAATTTTTTTGTTATGTAATCATGTTATTATATTATAATAAACCGTTTCTTAGTTGAAACAAATAACTATTTAAAAGATAAAAAAGTCCGCAATTTGGAAACACAGTAAAAATAGAATCAATGTAAATTACTGTGTTTCAAATTGCGTATATTTTTAAGCTAATTGCGTTGGTTTTTGTCCACAATTAGAGCGTAGCCTCCTGTTTCCTGTTTCTTTTCTCTTGATATATTTTCACTCTTATTTTTTACTTTTTTACCTCTCTCCGATATACTCAGAGAATAGTCAGTTGATAGTAATGTCAGCTTGGAGTAACACATATTATAGAGATAGGAATTGTAACGTTATTAGAAATCATTCTGAATTAAGACTCGAAAACGTAATAGAGTCTGAACCTTGTACTCCCACAATCAAAATTATATGTATACGAATAGAATACTGTATATTTTTGCTGTATCAACGATATATATTTATTGTCACTTATTACTATTATTATTATTCAATAAAATATTACGTTTCGATACTATCCAAACAATTTACATCATTTCTCCTTTCATAACTTATATACATCGATTGCAAGCTTATTGAATCTCTTTTACGTTATACACTATACAAAATGTAAGTACTAATAATTAAATAGAAATATTTGATAAAGAGCTCTTATAAAACATGGGTCAGACTATAATAAACAAGCTTTTCTCTAATTTGACAACTTCCATATATTAAATAATGTCTTATGGCGCCACCAGTTTTTTAATGTAAACATACAATTCGTAACACATTCTGTTCTAAAATAAGTTAGTTACTCCTGATATTTCCATCTTTGCTGTTCATTGAGGACATATGCCTCTACGTTGTTTATTAAATATATATGATTTCAATAGATATAATAAATTGCTTCGTTTCTAAGCAACAATTTCTAGATAACAAGTTGGTTTTGAATTTGACATATAGTATAATAGATATTCTATGTAATCACGGAACGCAAAATCGATGCGTTGAAATGCGGTATTACAACGCATCCAAGCGCATTGTCAATATGAAACGCGTTGAAGCGCAGTTAGAAAAAAATTTAAAATGCGCTCGATTGCAGTTTTTGTATACAACGTATTGAAATTGTGTGTATACAAATTTAATAAGAATATGACTGAACACGTTCAAACGCGTTGTAGTATGAGACGCGCTGACACGCGAGTAGAAATATTTCGAAACGGGTCTGGACGCATATCTTCTAAACAACGTTTTAAAACGCAATCAGCAAAAAAACTATGTACGTCTCAAGAAGTTTCTAAAAAATATTTAATGCGTTAAAATGCAATTATATTTCCGAGCATGTTTGTGCGCGTTTCTTTCTTGTGTATTAGACGCGATTTTGTCCTAATAATTGCTCCTTTAAAAGAGTTAACCGCGTGATCGATACTATCGATTTACATACGTTTTATTCGTCTAAACTTCAGTAGATTTGTCAATAAAGAATGTTCAGATGATATTAGAATAGACTGAAACTCAATTAAATATATGACAAATAATCGATAGTTCTCTAAAGTTTGTATGAACAAGTAACGCTCCTCCGAGGACTCGCTTAGCTCTTTCTCGTAAAAATGCAATTCCTTCAGATTTTACCGGAAAAACAAATGGAAACCGTGAAAAATCAGTTTTTGATGTTTTTTTGACCTTTTACCCACACTCACCCACCCCTAGCCGTGGCCACCCAACATACCTCAAATTCGAACTCCCCGCATCGAAAGACCTCTGGAAATGTGTTTTTCTAAAATTTGATTTTCGATGTTTTTTTGACCCTGCGGACAGACAAGCAAGCAAACAATTTATTCTTACTGGACTCTTCTCTACGAGAAAGAGAATAATAATTAGACAATATTGTAATAGTTCTCAGCTATCCAATGTCTATATAACAAACTGCTTAATATTACTATTTAAATAACATGATTAATAACGTTTCATCATATATTTCTACTAAATAGATTGTATGAATAATTAGTCATTCATTAAAATCTTCAATAAAATTATTCATCATGGTACCGATGCAACAGAAAAAAATGTAATATTAATTACGTGTAGTAGACGATAAAAAAGATATTATTTTATTAAAAAAAAAAAAATTATTTAAAAAAAAGACGTAACAAAGGTTATGTATTAAATATCCTAACTTCGAAAAGATTATATCTTATTGAAAATAAAATATTCAATCAATGAAATTCACATTCTAGCATATTTTATTTTGAGTGAAAAAACATTTCGGACTAACATAGCTCATTAGTGTATATGAACGACTTCTGATCACTGGTTCATCTGTTCAAATCTGATCGTCATCGTTTAAGATAAAATTCAATCTATTTGCCGAGGTAAGCTAAGATCATCGAAAAGTGTTGTTGATGACGACTCAGTTCGAACCTGAGATGAATTATCATGTATTTTTCAAAACTTTTAGATTTTATATGAAAGACGTTCACACGCATTTACCCCTAGCGTTTCACACGCAAACCAAACGCGTTTCAGACGCATTTTGAGGCAAAAAATATTTACATGGGATGTGCTTTAGGCAAGGCGCAAAAATCTACTTCGTCATTCATAAAAAAAAATCCTATGAGGAATTCTTCTATTTTATCACTACTAAAACTAAGTCAATAATAAAGTTATATATTCCAGAATCTTTCTTCTATCGTTTCATTTTAGATTAAGAACATTTCAGTTTATTAATCTTAAAAGTTGATTATATAACAATTACCATTCTTAGTTGATTATTATACATATATATAAATGAGTTCCACCGATAACGATTTTATTAATCTACTCAATACTATTAATACCTTCATATATAAATACATTGATCCAGTATTCTATATTCTGGGTAATATTGGTAATTTATTAAGTATTTTGATATTTCTAAAGAAATCTTGGAAAAAAAATGTTTGTGCGTTCTATTTTATAATTTATATTCTTTACAGTACATGTTATATCAATTCTATTATGCTTGCATCAATTTTTATTTATGGCTATAATATTACTCTACAAAATTCCAGTGTTGTCTTATGTAAAGTCTACCTCTATGTGGCATTTCTGTTTGCATCAGTTACACCAAGCATTCTTATTCTTGCATCAATTGATCGCTTATTAATTTCATCTCAAAATGTTGATACACGTTTATATAGTTCGAAACGCTTAGCTTATTTTTCAATTAGTATAAGTACAGCTTTCTGGATAGCATTCCATCTTCATTTACTAATTAAAGCGAATATAGTAGAAATATATCCATCAATCTTTGTTTGTTATTATGATCTTTCAACAACTTATGTGAATTATATTTTTTATTCTGTAATGGTCATGAATGTTAGTTTTTCTATATTAATGATTATTTTATCAATATTATCATTTAAAAATGTTCGCCAAATACGAATTCTACCACGTCAACAACGAGGTCAAATTCGAACAATGAAAAAGAAAGATTTTCAATTACTTCGATGTTTATTCGTTCAAGGCATTGTTTTTACATTTTTCAGTATGTTCATAACTGCTTATTATACATATGAAGCAGCTGAAAGAGATCAAATACAAACATCATGGAACGAAGCAATTAGTACGTTCTTAAATAACTTGTTTTCTTTTATTTACAATATTACTTTTTGTGCTAATTTTTACGTATTTGTATCATTCTCAAAAGCTTTTCGTCAAGATGTAAAACAATTGGTTCGCAAAATGTTTGGTAAAGATACCATAGCACCACGAGAAGAAGAAGCAAATAATGGAGAAAATATAAATTCTAAAGCTCCTGGTGCCAATTCTACTGCAATATCTAATTAATTATGAAATAAATGACAACTGAACTCGTTATGTCAAAGAAATGGAAGTATCTTCCATATAGTTTTAATTACCTTGTGATGATAAATTCATATCTTTACAAGAAAAGTCTGTAAAAAACAGTAAAATCATTTTCTTTTAAATAAACATCATGAAATTCTTTCTACTATTATCAATGAAACTTTCCATTTTTACTTCCTATACGATTATGAAATCATTTTTTTCATTGAAAACTAAATATGTCTTCTAATTATTTCTATGACGGAGTTAGTTATTCTTTTTGAAGGCTTTTATTTGTCATGCATTCATTAATTTAACTTAATCAAGTATATTAAAATATTTGATGCATTAATTGAAATAACATTTATTTAGTTATTAGATAAATTCATGCAACAATAGTACTAACAACACGACGTAGTTCTATATTCTTTCTTGATGATACTTGTTGATGATTATTTTCATCTCGCATAGTTGGAAAATGTTTACCATATATCCGATAAAAAAAACGTTTGAGTTCCAATCGAAAAGCTCTTGACATGCTGATGAATATAATGAAACTTGTGCAAAACGGAATTGAATGTACAAAAATACTCAATAAAGTTAGAAATGTCTGTATCGCTTGTTCAAATGGAGTTACTGTTTGATATTTTATTGCTGTGCCATAGCCGATATTTATCAATGTTAGAATACTGCAGATAATAAACATAATGTTGTGTATATATAAACAACGTAGTAATTGAAAATCTTTTTTGTTCATTGTTCGAATTTGACGACGTTCTTGACGTGGAACAGTTTGAATATGACGAACATTTTTAAAAGAAAGAACTGATAAAATAACTAGGACAAATGATATAATAACAATCAATATTATATCAGAATATGTTGAAAAAGCGAGATAAAACTTTGAAAGATCATAATAACAAATAAAAACACCGGGATAGATTTCTTGAATATTAAATTTAATAAGTACATGAAAATAGAAGACAACACATATAAAAATAGCTATAGATATAGAAAAATAAGCTAAACGTTTTGAGCTATAGAGACGTGTATCAACATTTTGAGATGAAATTAACAAACGATCAATTGATGCAAGAATAAGTATAATCGGAAAAAAAGCTGAACATAAATAGGATATATAGACATATAATTTACACAAAACAACACTAGAAATTGTAAGATCAATATTAAAACCAATCGTAAAAATAGATCCAATTACAGATGAATTTATATAGATAGTATTTGATAGAAGACAAACAAGAAAATAGAAGACACAAACATTTTTTCTCCAAGATTTTTGTAGAAATAATGAGATAGTTAACAAGTTTCCAATATTTCCAACAATATACAATACACTACTTACATATCGAGAAAGATAGATAGGTATAATCGTAAGTAGCTCATAGTAGTAACTGTTAGCTGTAGAGGACATTGTTCAATATAACAGAAATTAAAATTATGTATGTTTTTTATATCAGCAATGAAGTTACATAGTTCTATTTCACTTTCACATTACCTCACAAGTTTTTTTCTACACAGATATAATTAAATAAAAAATAATTGTTGAATGCTTTCTATTATAATAGTCTTCATGTTACTTTCGGTAAAAATAATTATCTCTTTTATTTTAATTCTGTAACGTATAATAATTATTCTAACGAAGTATTATATTGTATATTTAGAAAACTGAATAGAAAATATAGAGCATTAGTAACAGAGTATAATTATAAACTACGTTAGTCGATTGATAATTTTTGTATTATAGCTCTTAGTTTATTCTGACATAAAATGTCTTGTTATTTCTAAAAGTGCATTTTATGAACTAAAATTGTTGATTGAAAAGTATTATAGTACGTGCGAAACAAAAATACAAGATATTATAAATTTTAGGTGATTGAATTTTTTAATATCCAGCGTGTATAACATATCATTACTTTTCCAATAAAATAAAAAAGAATCCACGAAAAATGTAACTTATCCTGTTTCACTCTTTTTTTTAATAATCTAGTGATATTCTTAGTTCTTTTAGTAGATTTATTGATGAGTATGTTTGTCATCGAAAAGTATATCGTCAACATGCAGACTATCAAATATCATTGATCTTCATTGAGGTAACTGAAGCTATCAGTAATATTTTAACGGTATACTAAACATATTTGTAACCTCTCTGTGCAATAAAAATCGCTCATAAATCATCAAAATAAACTATTTATCCGAGTAAGTTTCTGATTTTCGATTTTCTGGTGATATTTTCATGTTAAATGTTACGCCCTCTTCGGTGAAGAGTCATTCTATTCCGCAATGTTGAACACTGCAGAAATCGATTTCCCTTTAATTCTCGGAACTCGAGTGAGTGTGGGTATGCTTGATGAGATTAATATTATATTTACAACCACTCAGATGCACAGCCATATCCTTGATTTTAAAGGTATTGTGAAATACTGTCAACTACCTACGGAAATTTCCCTTATCACTATGTTAATGTATATTGGAACTTTCTGTATTGTTGTACTTTTCTTCCTTCATTATTATTCATATTCTTTTCGTTCTGTGAAATATCCAATACCATGTCACTATATATAAATGCGATTGTTTTTTTACATTTTTTTTATTCTTTCTTTCTTTCTTTCTTAATTGTCATCGTTCTTGACTTGTTGCTCGTCTATTTTTTTCACCTACGCAAGAAACGCAAGAAACGTAATACATTGATATTTCATTTCTTTCTTAATCGAACTTCAAGACGTAACTGGTATATATACTCGAGATAAACAACTACTGGTCAGACGAAAACAATCTTCTTTATCGTATATTACTTTGATCGTAAGTAGACAATCATCATTGTTACGTTTTAATCCTACAACAAAAATTTCCAACATTAAAAAATCTTTTCAATGCAGATACAATGTTCTATTTGGTTTCGATCTGATTTTAAAAAATAAATTGCAGTCGAGCTTATAATTGCTATATGTTACTCACATTAACACTTATATTTGTTTAGCAAAAAAATTATTCTAGTTTATATTTTAGAATTTTCTTTGAAAAATCTTTTCTAAAACAATGATAAGATTTCTAAATGCTCAAACCGAACGTCGACTAGACTCCAATGGTGCTGGAGAGGCATATGGAAATAGAGCCAATAATGATTTATATCAAGTATGGGAAATAATAAATACTGTTGACAATAGTATCAATTTAAAAAATTTTGCAACTGGTTTATACTTAGACAGTGATGGTAAAGGTGAAGTTTGTGCATTACCTGGAAATGGAAGTGCACATCAAAGATGGAGATTTGATAGTCTTCGTATTATAAATGTTGCAACTGGTGGCGCATTAGATTCAAATAATGCTGGAGATATTTACTTGTTAGAGCCAAATGGAGAAAATTGTCAGAATTGGATTCGTGAATACATTTATGAATAGATGAAACCATGATTTGTCCAATTAAAATTAGACTCTTCATTCTATATAAACAAGAAAAATATCGAGTTTCTATTGAGCTGTACTTGATTCCTACTAACATTAATATTTTCAATACTTTTCGGTTTAACTTGTAATTATAAAAGTTAAGTTTATTCTATAATAAATACTTTAATGATAATCATAGCTTTGACTGTAAAATAAATAAAACTTTTACAAGGGTGTGGGTGAGTGTGGATACAAGATTGATCTCATCAAGCACATCCACACCCTAATACTTAAATATATAATTTCTCTTTATATTATCATGTAGACATTTTCCAATGCTTGAAAGCTTGGGTATGAGCAGATTTTGTTGTTTTCGTGAACATATACTCTCACCTTCATTCACGCCCTCAATTCATCTATGTTTTATTTAGTTGTTTAATAAGAATCTATCGGTATTTATCATGAACATGATTTATATCTTTTCAAGTTTTACGCATATAGAATACAATCTGGAATTTAAAGCATAAAATCAATTATTAGTTCTATTTTATTTTAATTAATAATGAAAATATATAACAAACTCAGAATATTATTACAGTGAAGAAGATGATAATACTCATAAATAAATAGTTAAAATCAAATAACATTGTTGATGAGTTTCCAACTCCAGTTAAACTTGCATTCCAGATACCTTGCCTTGGCATAGCTTCATCGTTTCCTGGCCATGGTGGCATGGTAATTGCCACTGCCACGAGAGTTTTTTGTCCAATTGTACGAAACTGAAATTGTGTGCCGACTGGTATAGTAATGCATACATTGCTGTCGACGTTTACAACTTCTTCTTTATCATTTTGTTTACGCCAAAATTCTCCTTGACCCGATAAAAAATACCATATTTCATAAACATTTCGATGTTCAACAGCATTTGATATCATTCCAGGAGGTAGATCAAATTGTGCCATACTACCACCATTTGTTGATAATAAATTACGCACTAGTGAACCATCGGGTGCGACAATATCAGGATTAATAGGCAAACGCTTAGTTTGAAATAAAGGAATAGCGTATGATTGATTACTAGATGCAGATGTTGTTATTGTAAATGGTGAAGATAGATCTGTTGTAAACGATGAAAAGGACACCTCTATTGTTGTTGATGAAGGTGGTATTTCTGTCGTAAAGTTTGTTGCTGATGAACCTAAAGGACGATGAACAGTTAATAACTGTTATTGAAAGAATAGAAAGAAATATCTACCAAGTTTCTCTAATATCGTATCAATATGTTCATCAGTAATTATCTTATGAACTGAAAAAAATCAAAAGTCCAGTTACATTCTGTTGGTTTTGACTCTACGATTAAAATTACCTGAATTTCTTCGGTATATATTGTGTGAAGTAGACGTGAACGTAATAAACTGATTATTATCGATATTTTGTATGGATATCTGACTAGTAAATTGAATCTTGCAAAAGATGTTGAAAATAAGGACAAGGCTGATATTCAGTAACATAATGTAAGTAACTACAGAAAGTTTGTTTGAAATCTATATAATATAGGATAATCTATAATAAATAGATAAACAGCAATTATTTATGAATTTTAAATAAAAAAATAAAAAAAAAATAAGACTTTCTATTTTATACTTCTTATTCTATTTTTACAAATAAATATAAAGCTTTTCGTGTTTATCTAGTTTTGATGTTACATAAATGATCAGTAGCGGTAGTCATCCGACTTATAAGGACCATCAGGATGTACATCTATATATGCTGATTGTATCTTTGTCAATTTGTCTAAATGAACACCTAAATACTCCAAATGTGTCCTGGCTACCATTTCATCTAACTAAAAGAGAAAAGAGAGAAAAAAATATTTTTCTTGAAATATAATATCACTAACAATTTTTGGAAGAGTATGAATTCCAACTGGATATTGACCTTTTTTGGTAAACAATTCAATATGTGCTAAGATTTGATTCGATAGTGAATTGCTCATAACGAAACTTGGATTACCGTGTGCACAAGCTAAACGTTCATAAACATTACAATATTTTATTGTTATTGATTATACTTACAAAGATTAATCACACGACCGTCAGCTGGTACAATGAGAGCACGACCATTCGATAAATGATAAATATCAAGCTATAACAACATAAATAAGTATATTAAAATTTTGTTTTTGTAGTTAGATAAAGTATACTTGTGGTTTAATATTTTCAATTTTTACTGCATTAGCTTTTAACCATGCAATATCAATTTCTGTTTGACCTGAACCGATATTACATAAAATAGCCATATCACACATTTCCATCATATGTTCTTCACGAATCAAATTAGTTGAACCAGTCGCTGTTACATATATTTGACCAATTTTACATGCTTCGACCATCGTTATCACTTGATGTCCTGGAACAATACATCATTATAAAGAACATATAGAATATATATATATATATATATATGTAACTTACCATCCATTGTAGCTTGTAAAGCACAAATTGGATCAACTTCGATAATAACTACTCGTGCTCCAAAACCACTAAATGCTTTTGCACATCCTTTACCTACATTACCATATCCAATAATTACAACATTTTTTCCTCCAATCATTACATCTGTAGCTCGTTTAATTCCATCAATGACACCTTCACCACATCCATAATTATTATCAAATTTTGATTTAGTTACACTATCATTGACATTAATTATTGGAATTTTTAATCTTTTATCTTTTAATAATTTACGTAATTTTGTAATACCAGCTGTTGTCTCTTCACTACTACCATGTATACCACTTGTCAAATGGGGATATTTTTCATGTACGATTCGTGTTAAATTACAACCATCATCTAATATTGCATTCAATGGTTGACCATCAGGAAAATAAATTGTCTAGAAGAGAACAAAGATATATCTCCCTGATCATGATATTTCGAAAAAGAAGCAATTTTTTCTAAGATTTTCTTAAATTTTGTCGCTGTAGTTTCAACTGTATCTGTACTTTAAAATAGAGAAGGAAGAATATAGCTGTGATCGAAGAAACAAATTGTCATATGATCAAGTGTCAAATAATAAATCATGCAAAAAATCGTTAAGATTTTATTCTTTTTTCAAGCGATAGGTGTTTATGATACTTCCTAATAATTCATAGAGAATGTTAGCGATAAGAAGATAAGAATAGTAAATTATTGTTATTAACCTGATCTATACACCATAGTTTTTCTTCATCAGTTTCACCTTGCCATGCATAAATGGATATTCCAGCTTTAGCCAATGCCGCTGCTATGTTATCTTGTGTTGATAATGGATTGCAACAACTCCACTGAATCTATGATCCAATAATAATTGTATCTTAGAATTTAAAGAAGCGATAAGATGAATAGATAACTTACTTGTGCACCCATTTCCCGTAACGCTTCTATCATAACTGCTGTTTGTGCTGTTACATGTAAACATCCAGCAAGACGAACACCCTTCAATGGTTTCTTAGGACCATGAATTTTTTTCAATTGCATCACTCCTGGCATTTCAGCCTCAGCCATTGATATAAGTTTTCTACCCGATTCAGCCAGATTGATATCAGTAATTTTATAAGTTAATTTATCAGTCATATCATCACAAAACGGAATTTTTTCTTGATGTTGTTTTTGTGCATGTCCTTTTGAAACTAAAAGATGAGAACAAAGTCATTTTAATATATTAACAAGTATATGCTATTATAACTGTAAGTTCTCGTAATTCCTGAAGAATTTACTGATAGTATTGAATAGAATTAATGAGATCAATGATTAATTTAACAATTCAATAATTTAATTATAGTTTGCTAGACCGTGTAAATTTTCTATAAACTCATTGAATAAACTGCTAATCGTATATCGGTATTTCTTCTAGATTAATAGAGCCAGCAGAGAGAAAAAATTACATATTAGCTAACTCTAATACTCTGTACCTGGTAAATATGGTTGTGACTACAGAAATGGGTGAGAATGGATATGAATATTTTATTGTATTAACACACACATCTACATTTGCACTCTCAGTGTAATAACTAGTTTAGATTCTGAATAATTAAAATCTTTAGTGAATATAGAAAGCCTTTTTGTAAAGCTATTTTTTATCAATAACTACTGTATATTATTATTTAGTCTATTGAATATTCATTGATTAAATTTTAATCGGTTACAGAAATAAAAACATTTATAGTATAGAAAACTTTAGATAATTATTAATTTATCTATTATTTAATAAAAACGTTTTTTTATAATTTGACTTACCATGGTTTTGTTTGCTCGAAGATCGATGGAAACGTTTTTTTTGTTTAGGAACTGCTTCTAATGAGGTTTCCAAACGTTCTTGTTCTTGTATACATTCAAAACTTACGCTTACTTTTCGTTTCGAGTTCATTTCGTCGGGTATCTGTATAATAAGCAAGAAACAATTGCAATGAGTTGGTTTATGACTTATATGGATTGTTTTGGTATAATGAAATAAGTGACAATTTGAGTGTCAGCTTTTATAGGAATAATAATTATCTAGTTGGAAGTTTTTGAATATCATTAACGTATGACAGAAAACGGAAGTAAAAAAATGAATATATTCTTGTCATAAACATAATTAGTAAGTACTGATAAATATCAAATGTACGAAAGATTCCTTTCGTTCTTCTGTTTCAATTGCGCAACTTTCTACCTGAATCGGCAAGATTTTCATTATGTGGGTAGTAAATAAAATATATCATGACCAACTATGTGAACCGACCATGGTTTTTTAGAAATATCATACTCGGAAGAAAAAAACCATTAAAATAAAGTTATTAATAGATATGTTGGGAATAATCAGATAAAAAATAATATTCTTATTCATTAAATAAAGGAAGTGAACAATAAATATATTATATAAAGTGAAGTACTTACAGGTTTCGAATCAAATATTAATATATTCTATAAACAAAAATCCTCTCGAAGATGTGTTGTTGTTTCAAAGTAAGATATTCAATATATTAAATATGATTTTCATTCTTGCTTTTAGTTGTGAATGAAAATGGAAGATACTACAATAACAACGACTGAAGATAAAAAAATCCGTCATCGATTTCGTAAATGGTCTGGTGTTGTATGGCTTCTGATTGAAGTAAATTTAGTTGGTGGAACTATATTTGGTTTTCCAGCATTATTTCAAATATTACCTCAATATGGGATTTACGGCAATAGCAGTGATTGTTCATCATCATCATTGAATATGACTGGAACAGAAAGTGGACAATCATCATGTGAAGGACTCCAAACACGCTATTATCAAGTATGTATATATGCTGAAATGACAGTTATTCGATTTACGTCTATGCATGTGCTTTTAGAATGCATTAACATTAGGTATTATACTATTTGAAATCCCAGCAGTGGTTATCGGACCATTAATTGATCGATTTGGATGTCGACTTGTTAAACTAATTGGAATGTAAATATATTATCCATCTCTTGTTTTCTCAGATTCGATATTTTTTTTTAGAATTTTTCATATTGTCGGATGGTTAGCATTAGCACTAGTCGCACCTGGTAAGTATGTAGATTTATTTATAAAAATATGACAAATTATTATTTCTATTAGGAAGAGATTCACTTTTATATGTGCATACAGCATTATCATCATTGTCTGGTATCATAGTTTTATTGACAGCCTACACTTCAAGTGATTATTTTTCAAAATCAAGAGCATTAGTATCTGCATTATTCGCAGGAGCATGTACATCAGCAACAATGTGGTATTCAATATTTCAGGTATGTAAAAAAAGGCTTTTCATTCAAACTAAAAAAGATCAATTTTATTCAAGAAGTTTTTTTTATTCTCGTATTAAACAAAATGAAATATTTATTTATTTTAGACTTTAATTGATGCTGGTAAGATTACATTACAACAATTATCTTACATATGGATGTCATTTGGTGTATTATTATTCATCAGTTCATTCGTATATCTTGATTGGAAATTTCCTATTTTAAATCTACCTTATAAATTCAACACTAAATTAGAAAAGAAAATTACTGCTCCAGCTATTACTACTGGTATATCAATTTAAGAAATACAGTTTCTCGTATTCTATATATATGTTTTATTTTTCTATTAAGATGATGACGATTTGCCGGATAATACTCAAGTAGACAAAATGAAATGGTATACAAGAATTTTAAAACGAAATGGTGTATGGCAGTATTTAACAAGTCCATTATATCTGTTAGTAGTACTATTTTTAAGTATTCTGTTATTACCAGGAATTTTTCTTGCTGTGACATGGTATCCATGGGTGTACTATATCACAAATCAAGATACAGTATTAAGTAAGTTATCAATCACCATTCGATTAAAAGAAGTTTTTTAACATATTACAAAAATTAAAGTATTTGATATCTTTCCGTTCTAGGTAATAAATATACGTTTGCATTTAATTTATCTACTATTGCTGCTATTGTTATTTGTCCCTTAAATGGCTTTCTACTTGGATTTAAAGCTGCCAAAAGTAAGATATTAATTTTTTTATTTCTAAATTTTATTGAGATTATTTTAATATTTAGGTAAAAAACAAAAATTATTTAATATTTCGTTGATGCAGACTATAGCGTGGCTTATTAATGTTGCGGCATGTATTGTGTGTATGTTTGCAAACAAAAGTATGATTATTCCAGCATTGGTGATCAATTGTATTGCTAGGGCGACAATTGTAGGTGGAAGTCAAGCGGTTGTAGCTACCTTGTGAGTATTATTTAAAAAATTGTCACCTTAAGAGAAGTGTTTTATAAGGAGATCAAAATAAGAACTCAGTAAAAATGAACTTTTTAGTTTTCCATCTAAGTATATTGGCACATTAACTGGTGTAATGTGGACTGTTGTTGGCGTTGTTGCTACCATTCAATATGGTTTAGTTCAATTAACAGATGATATACCTCGCTCATGGAGAGTAAGTCGTTATTGTATTTGTTATCATCATCTTATGAAATTATTTCTTTTATTTCAGGCATGGTTGATTATATTATCACTTGTGATATTGATGTCATGTCATCTAATTCAACTATGGTGGAAATATATAAGAGAGTTGAAGAAGAAATCGACGACAACGATCGAAAAAGAAATTGTCACCAAATTTTGAAAAAGATAAATAAAATTGTATTTTTATTTTTATTTTTCTTGTTTAAATTTATAAATCTTTTTTTTATACTTTTTATTAAAACAATCAGGACAAAAAAAGTGTCACAATTAGTATAGAACATTTTTGTTTTCTTTGTTGCCACATGGCCCGCTTCTCTTGATTATTATCTTAAAGCAGGTTTCAATTTCTTGAATGACATACCAAAGATTAAAGATCTCACAGGACTTTTATGCAACGACCGTATAGTTATGTCACCTATAAAATAGTTTTCCTTGTAATACAAATAGTCAGTACTGACTAGCTTGGTAAACTACGAGACTATTAATTTCTTGAGATGTCATGTGAATCGTTGGAAATTTCAGTTGATTCTATACAGACAAGAAAAAAGAATTCAAAAGATAAAAATCGAGAATTTATTTTATTATCTCGTTTTTTACCGCATAATACATAAAACAAAGAGAAAAAATCTTGAGTAATCGTAAAGTTTAGTATGACAGAATCATCGATGTCATGACAAACAAAAGAAAAAGAAAAACTATAGATAACACATACTGGAAAGGCCAACTAATGCATTTGAAAATGAATCTATTAAAGCTATGTTCGGAAAAAGAATTGAAGGTACAAGATATAGTTCATAAACAAAATAGCCACTAAATAGTTCTTCTAGCTGATGAACTGATACTTGTTGTTTTTGAATCACGATTGCTTAATGTTTGTTCATAAGACGCACTCATGATCTCAACAAGATTACCAAATGGATCTAGACAATAAACAGCCTGATAAATTTCATTAGGAATGATACTTAATATAGGACTAAGTTGTTTTCCACCAGTTTCGACTATTTGTTGAACAAGACTTTCAGGATTAGGATCAGTGACACAAATATGAAAAAAGCCAGCACGTGTATACTCAAACTGCTCATTTGTATTTGTGGTAATATTCGGACGTTGAGTAGGTGGATCGATAAACTGAAAAAATTCGAGACCGATACCATTTCCTCCTGTCATATGACCCATTTTTACGTGCTTCATTTCACGTCCGTACATTTGACCCAATAATATTCCCATGCTTGTCGAATTATTCACGATAATATCTGTTGCAGTACTGATAACAGTAAAGCCAAGTACATCATGATACCAAGACATTGCGGCATCAATATCAGTTACTGAAATGCCCACATGATTTATAGGTCGCGGATAGTTCTCAACAGTCGCTTTGTTGTTCGTCTCTAAACGATTAATGAATGAATTCCATTTACATATTTCCCAGTAGGATAAATAGACAGATGGGCAGAAGAAATATAAAAGACGAAAAACTATTATCTTAGGATAATTAGTAATAACCGAGTGTATGTATTAATAGAAAGACTTGATTTTTTGTGAGTGAGTTTTTCCTGTTTATGTTATACTCTATATAAACGAGTTGTTTTAATACATTTGTTTTTACAAGAAGCTAAAAAGTATACTAAATTTCGATATCAAAGCGTCATGTCACACTAATACTGATTTTCACAATCTCTAGCTACAAATAAAGACTATATATAAAACCTACTTAATGTTATAGCAACATTGACCAATAATAATAAATAAATACCAAACTTCATTTGTATACAATAAACTAATAAAATAAATGTGTTTTTACAATATTCGTCGTATAAAATTGTTGTACTCACTTAATATACTGTTGACAATTATTTATACAGACGATACTATATGTGCCTTCTTTATATACTTACACAGGTGAAGAAATTACTTCCTCTCATATTTTACGCATCATTTATGAGTCAGTTCCTTTCATTACGTACATTGCCGCTTCATTCGTTATATCTTACGACATAAAAGAAACTAGGAACATTCTGACCACGTTTTCAATCAATATAATCACGTTGAATAGAAACGTGATCAAGGTTAAGATGAAAGAGGTGAATAGAGATAAGTCTAACATAATTACATCTTTCTCATAGTCCTTTTACATTGTGTATATTTCATTGATTCTATCTTTTTCTAATCTTAGTATCAATTATTTACATTTTATCAATCACAATATACAAACGTTACATATTCGAATTTATATCACACATAATATAATACTATATTATTAAAAGCTATACAAAAATGTTTTTCTTTTATACTCTAGTACTGAAAAACAATATTAAACTCTCAATGTAGAGTATAGTTTGTTGAATAAATACATGATGGTTGACTGATATTGTTTATTTAAGTGAGCTGTAAGAATATTCCATGTTTCATCTTCTTTGTTGATTAATGTTAATTCAACCACCCACAATGTTTCATACTTTTCAACATTATCTATTCGAAAAACTGAAGCCATGGAAAATAAAACTTCATCTTCATCTTCAAATATACTTTCATACTGGATTTTGGCGAATGGAATCGAATGGTGAACACTTGTGTCAATTGTGATTTGATAAATAACTGATACTTCCCCGTTTGGATCATTAAGACAGCCATCACCAGCAAAAAAGATAGCAGCTGTAACATTGTTTGTTGTTGATAAAAAATTATTCATAGATATTAGTTTGCCAACATTCTGTTGAAGTCTTGTCAATTCAGTAATTTTCATACGTTGTCCACGATATAGTGTTAATATTGGTTGATCCGATGGTAGAGAGTCAAGATAAGATCTATGAAGTTGAACTAATTGATTATGTAAATCATAGATATATTAGCGTAGTTTAAAAATCGTATCAATATCTTCCATCCACAGTGCTTGATGAAGAAGTTGATAAAGAAAAGAATTTGTTGTATACCATTCTATGGCATGACTATGTTGATAGGATCTTTCAAATTCATTGATTTTCTCTAAATCAGTTAAGCTATTTCCATATTTCAATCGACACATTTCAATCATTTCTTGTCGAGCAAAGTCAGTTTGATGAAGTCGTAACATTATATCCGTAAGTAGTTGAAAAGCTAGAAAAGAACTATTTTGATCGATTAAAAATCGAGTAAATAATGGCTCATGACGTTCAGAAAAAAAACTCTGTTCACTAATTTTTGCTTTCCAAGGATTGATTACTGTACAAAATTGTTGATCATCTTCATCTACAGCTGTTAAATCAATACACCATATATTATCAGAATATTCAACTCGTTCAATACGAAACAGTGATCGTATTGAAAATAGATGTTCATCTTCCTCTTTGCACACACTTAACTCCGAGATATCGGCACATACTATTTTATTGGTGTTTGATGCAATAAATATCTTGTAGATAACTGATTGTACAGGAGAATCAACTGGAGTATTTCCAGCAAAGATTTTCGCAAGATGGTAGTCCGAAGTTGTAGATAGAAAAGAAGTCATTGCAATTAACTTACCTACACTCGTTGCTAGCTTACGTAAATCATATGTATACAACCGTTGACCTCGAAACACACACTTTGACTGAGAATCCATTTGTTTTGAGCATAGTTTTCGAAGGTTTCTATCAAGATCACTAATATAAAATCGCCATAAAAATATTTCATTGATATCATAACTACGTAATGCTGTATTAAGTCCACGATAGAAGAAGCTTTCTGTAGTATACCAATTGATAACATCATCAGAGTAATATGCATTCTCAAAAAGACCAATTTCTTCCAATCTACACATATTATCTTCATAAATAGCACGAACTCGACTAATCATTTCATTTTTTGCGATATCAGTATGTTTTAAATGGTCTAGAATATTAAAGAAGAATCGATACCAAAAAAACGCTGCACTATCTCCAAGTATATATTGAATGTCTGCGCTTTTATAAGTGGAATATTCAAAGTTTTCAATATCCTGACGTATTTGCTCAGTTAATAATTGAACATTATCGAATATACCACGAAATCGTAGATCACGAACTGAGTTTTGATTGTATGGAGTTATATTAAATAAATAAATATATGACAATTGTGGCATAATTTCTAACAAGGTATCGAAATCAAAGTCAACAAATGGAGTTGAAATAATAAGCAAAACTAAACCATCTTTAATATCATCCTGATTGATTAAATCTAAACAATGATCTGTAGTATATGCTTGAAAATAGTGACAGTTGGAAAGATGGTCGAGTTTGTGACGTAAATGCACAACATCTGAAAATATATCCAGTAGTAGAATAATAGACTTTTTTGGTGACGATGTCTGGACGAAGTTATGATTTACTTCACATGTACGGGCAAATAAACGTGGTCGAGTTGCCATTCGTATCTATTAATGTGTGAATATTGATATGGTTGAATTATAGTTGTAATGATTTGATATAAATATTTTATTTTGTCTCAGAGTAACGAAACTACTTTCAGTTTTGGTAACCTTGTATTTCGTGATCGTAACACTAAACAAAAAGGAACATTAGATAAATTTATCATATCGTTGTAATGTAGCATATACCTTCAGCGATAAAAATAAAAAGTAAGAATCATTGTTAACTTACACCATAAGTTCATGACAAAAACAAATTCTACAATAAATCTATAAAATATAATGAAACATTTATCATAATCTATATAAATCAATGTTTTCGCTTTTATCTTTACTTTGGTTACAGATTTCGATTAAAAGTACTGATGAAAACTACAAAAAGTGAAGTTATTTTATAGGTTACTAATTCAAAACTACTTTGTACTTCATTTATGTCGATGAGTATTACATTTAAACTAATTATATGTAACTATGCAATTTTAGAACTCACATTTGAATTAAATGGTTTTAAGTCTGACACAAAAAAGATTATTTTTTGTCAAAATCAAACTTGTTTTTTAGTTGCTGTTGTACATTATCGACATTGCAGGTGTTTTAATAAAAGAACGTACATTCTTGTTATATTAGCGAATGGCAGAAAAGAAAAAAAAGCATTTAATCTTCTCTTTCTAAAGTGTGAAGCATATTTTAAGAAATAGTGACAGAATGAAACATATTATTTAATTTTGTCCGTTAGTAGAAATAAATATAGTTTATGTCAATATACTAAAATTTCACCTTTTATATATTGTAATATAAAACAAGTTATAAAAACATATTCAACGGCTAGTATAATGCGTCTGTCAAGAACTCCATGGGATATGAATATTAAATATAAACTCAACTATTCGGAGTTATTCATAAATTAGATTTCCTTATTTTCAAGTTAAAATCAATGCAAAATTTTTTTGTTATTAATTATTAGTTTAATTATAAATCGATCATTTCCTTTTCAAAAAAGAATACATAACTTGGTGAAAAGTAAGAGTCAAACAAGTTCCAAGCATAAAAATAAAGTAACGTGTATAAAAGACAATATTCGTTTTTCGGGTGACACATATTGAACTGGATGATGAAAAGCAAAGAAATATCAATAGATAAAATAAGCTCTTGGTTAATAACATTATAATGCAATCATATAATATTATTCGAAGGACAATCGATATAAATCATTATCATACGAAGCGGGTCTCAATATTCTGAAGTATTTTTTCTGAACATAATTACTTTTAAAGTTAGACAACATGCGTTTATTTTAGTTTCTAATTCGAATTGATAATTAGTCACTGGACATATATATCAAAAAATTATACAATCTAAATAAATAATAATTAGAAAAAGTTCATAAGTTGATTTAGTATCATTGAAAAAATATTTATCTTACTCAGACGAAATTATAGTATAATCAGTTTATTACAACTTTTTAGGATTATAGTCATCAAGATGAGATATTTGACCATGTGAAGTTTGGTAAACAATTCGAATATAAACTATGATCGAAGGATTCAAAGAATATTTTTCATTGTTTCATAGATGCATTAGATGATGAAATTTGATATATTTTACCTATAAAAAAACGTATGATACTTTACAATCAGTTTTATGCTAAATTAAATAAAGAAGCAAATACCGTTGATGAGTCAAACAGGTATACAAATGCACAATTCAACGAATAGTTGTCTCTTGCTGAAGAGAGAATATATGAAAGAAATGATCAATATATAAAATATCGATAATGGACAAGAGAGAATCAAAATGATCATTCATGTGCATCATCCATATGTGTAAAACGAATGAGTATGGTTAAATAACGATATTTTTGAAGTAAAATTAAAACGTTTTTTGTTTCAGCTATGATCAGACTTAATTATTGATATTTACTAATAATTTTTCATTTAATATTCAATAGAGGGTGTGGGTGTGAGTATACTTAATAAGATGAATCTTATATCTACACCCACACCCACACCCACACCCACACCCACACCCACACCCACACCCTCAAGGGAACTGATTCCAGGTGGTGTTACAATCGCCCTTTCTGATATTCGTTAAACTGCTAAACATATTAAAGCGAATAAACAAACATTTTTCAATATATTTTTCTTTAAAAGTAATACGATCTTATGATTTCTTTCAGTATGTAAATAATAATACATTACAAATAGATTTATTTTCTATCGATTTGTTTCTTTTCTCTTATTATTGTTCACATACAAATACTGTTCCTATTATTGAAAACATCTGATTGATGTTTACCGTATAGGAAATTGCAAAAATCAATGACAATCAATTAAATATGTCCATATATCACAACGAAATAAAATCATGTACTTCCGAATTGATACACATATCATATTAATCAATAGAGCGTTGTCTATGACTTGGAAAAAAATATATTCCAAGCATAGTGTATATATGACATTCAAATTTTTTTTCTAGGGAAAATTACAATCAGACGTTGAAAAGGAAAGTATAAATAGGTATAGTTTACCTATAACTATTTATTATACAAATATTTATTTTAGATAACTGAAATTTTTTGTTTCTATTACTGCATTATTATTCGTTGAAATGCTGGGTAATATGGTTGGTAATATGGTTGGTAATATGGCAGGTAATGCGGCAGGCAATGCACAAAGTGCCATGTCGGGTCTTGTTAGTGGTATTCATCAAACTGGTAGTAAAATCAATACTGCTTCTAAAAATGTTAAAGTTAATAAAAAGCAATCGATAGCATTAAGTGCCCGTATTGATAGATTAATTGGATTTTTAAATGTAAAACAATTAGAAAATTTATCTGGTGGTCCAATAAGAAAAGCACTCGAAAGTTTTCTTACATTTTTAAAAGAATGTTTAGCATTTATAGAAAAATTCGGTAAAACTGGATGGTTTTCACGTATAAGAAATCATTCTAATCATGCTGATAAATTCCATGAATTAAATCAAGAGCTTAATCAATATGCTAATGATCTTTCAGTTGGATTACAGATCAATATTCTCGGTCGATTAATACCTGAAAATAAAGCAGATGCCGAAGATGATTTACGAGAAATTAATGAAATTGTAAGTAAAATAACATTATTTTTATCAATATATAATAAAAGTAATTTGAATAATATTTCGATATAGGTTCAACGAACTCTAGTACCACCACCACCACCATCAATACCACCAAGAGCGAATGCAACGGGTAGAGCTAATCCTACTGGACCTCCTGCAACCGGTAAAGTTAGACCTGCTGGACTTCCTGCAGTAAGTAACAGCTTTATATTAAAATTTATATAAATTGAAGATATTTATCGTTTATGTTAAAGGATCCTCCAAAAAATGATTCAAAACATCGACCTAGTTCTCGTCTTCATCGATATGATTTGTCGCAGCCACAATATCGATCTCACCACCATCATCATCATCATCATCGTCATCACAGCATTGCAACTTTTTATTGAATAGAACAACGAAAGAACACGTAGTTGATTTACCATGAATCATTTTTAGTAGTATCGATATTGTATAATGCACTTGTAATCGTTTTTCTTTCTATTTTATTGTTCGTTCCTGTATGCAAATACGAATTCATGTATGTTATAAACATCATTGAATCAAGGAAAATAAATTGTACACATAAGTTGGATGAATATACGGATGAGTCAAATTTTCTTTTATAATTATTGAATTTCATCACCTTCGAAAATAACATTCTATAACGAAAAGGAAGTGATTCATATAATTAGAAAAAAAATAATATAGTTTATGTGTCAGTCGATCATTATCATACAACTAAATAAATGTTTGCGATAGTTGGAAGGAAAAAACCTTCACACGAGTGACAACAGCACATGTAGTTTTCATCGATGCATATCAAGAAAAGAAAAAAAGATATAAAATATACTTGTAAATAACCCTGCACGTTTTTAATGATTTATATCATCAGCGTGTATAACTGATATGTTTTTAAATTTGTATGAGTTTGCTCTAGATGCTATGTATTTTAAAATAATATAAATAACTTTCATATTGTTGATGAAATTAATCAAATGAATAAATTGATTCAATAGTATCAGGTTTAGATTTGCAAAAAAACTTTATCAAATGTTGAATGTAATACCAAGAACTCAATCAATATCATAAAATTTTCGTCTGTTTCTTTATTTTTATATCAAATATGGATCATTAAACTTAAATATTTATATCAACATAAATTATGTGAAAGAAAACTTCAATAGTTATTTCTTTATTATATTTTTCTTTGGATTGAATATAAAATTATTTGATTGTATATTATCAAATTCCAAAATATATAACTAAATAAATATTTTTAATACTAAAAAAATAGAGGTATCTTTTTTCGCTGCATATATATATACATGTAGAGTATATCATTGAGTTTGATAAAACACATACATAATAATAGTGATCAACTATATATATTCAGTTTGAGATTGATTGGTTTTTCAAATAACTTTTACAATAAAAATTTGAAATGCGTCTGTTCGTAATTATTGTGATACTTTGCTTTATAATAATTCTTCAAAATGTAAATGGCTCTGCACGTTGTATTTGTACCTGTTGCCATGGAGAAGGATGTGCGCCTGAGAAAAAACGACCTTTCGTTATTGAATCATGTGACATAGACAATAAATGTAACGGTAACTGTTGTCAACAATATCCACAAGATTGTTCTCCATTACCAGGACCAGGTTTTATCGATTCAATTTGTTACAATTTAACAACAACACAAAGGCAATAAAAATTGGAGAATGAAATAGAAAGAGACTTTCGTCAACTGAATTAATTATGAAAACAAATATTTAGAGAATTATTTTAAATTTATTATTGAACAATTTTGAAGCATCTTTTTATACTACGAATAAAAGACGAAAAGAATAATGAAAGGTTTTCATTCTGAATATCTTTATATAAAATGAATTTATTAATTAAATATTTGATCGAAAAGAATTCATGTAAGAATATATTTCATAAGGATCAAACATTAGAAAACTACAGTAGAAATAATGATATCTTATTTGTGATTAAATGAATATAGGATATAGTAATATCAAATTTGTTTTACACATATTTCAATATGTCTTTGATCCTTCTTGTCTTAATAAAAGAAGATAAAATTAAGTTTTGCATAACATTATTTACTTTAAATTATTCAGATGATGCTTTATAGAATCTTTGTTCTAATCGAACTTTTTTGTATAAATATATATATATATATATCTATATAAAACCCTTTTGTTACGTAGAGAAAAAAACACAAAATACAATGAATATATTATACTTTTTTGACACATGTATTGACATCATACGATTTGCACATAGCGTCTATATATAGATACATATTTTTTTACTCTTTAGTCTTTGAATAATATTATATAAATAGTTGTTTTACTCGTATATCTCAACAAATTGTGATATTAGTCTTAAAAAATATTATCGATAATGAATGTATCATTGACAATGTTTACTTTTATATTAACAATACTTTTTGTATATGGACATATTGAATGTAAGTCGTTTTTTTCAGCGACGTATTGAATATAATGTAAATTTTATAGTGGTAACTGCAAAAGTTTGTATGTCAAATGAAGAATATGTGGCATGTGGAATGGCTATTTCATGTCAACCAACATGTGCTAAACCTAATGGAACTGCATGTCCATCAATGGTGTGTTCTCAAGGTTGTCGTTGCATGAATGATTTTGTACGAGTTTCTGATACAAATACGACGTGTGTTAGCGAAGAGCAATGTAATGGTAAGTATTCGTTTCTACACAAAGAACTTGTATGTTTTATGTTTCGTTGTTTTCAATGTAGTAATTAATACTAAATCGTCAACATGTGGTTCTAATGAAGTACCAGCTGGTAGTTGTGGTTCAATTTCATCCTGTCAACCATCTTGTGAAAATCCGAATGGTACGGTATGTCCAGATATTTGTGAACCTAATTCATGTAACTGTAAAAATGGTTTTGTACGAGATAATAGTAATAATTTACAATGTATCCCTCAAACAAAGTGCCAAATTTGTAAGAAAACTTTTTCAATAATAGTAAATATCTTATACTTTTAATGTAAATCTTATTAGATACAAGCACAAGTACAAGTACAATTCCAACGTCAACATGTGGTGACAATGAAGAAATAAATGGATCATGTGCACCATCTCCATCATGTCAACCAACATGTCAGGAATCTAGTGGAACTGTATGTTCACGCCTGTGTAGCATCCATCAATGTGTATGTAAAAAAGGATTTATCCGTGATGCAAGTAATAATTACAAATGTATTAAAGAATCACGATGTCAAAATGGTAAATAATTCAATTTTTCTTTCTTATATTTTTATCTAAATCGAATGTTCATCTCCTTGATATAGGTAAAGTTGTCTAAACTTCACTTTATGATAATAATGAAAAATAAAATAATCATCATGTACACAATCTACAATATTCAAAAAGTTTGTATATCCAGTCAAGTTTATCTTCATACTAGGAACGATATGAAAATTCAATATGTTAAATATTTATTCATACATTTTTTTCTATTATTAATAAACGATTTTGACTTGTGTAATTTTTTGTTTTTTATTAATTAATAAATTTTTATCCATTACAAATAATTCCTAGATAGATAAATCATTTAATATTGTTGATTATATGATATATTTAAAATAGAGTGTTGAACGAAATCTATCAGGATTACAACAAGTTCTATTTTCATTTTTTTACTCGAATAATAGTGACATCTTATGTTACTAAGGAGTCTATTTATTTTTTTTCCACTATTCTACCAATAGGATCATGCATTGAATCATATTCTTTGTATATGTATTCTAGTTCTAAATAGAAGAAAATATAACGCAATTTATTAATATTATTATTATTATTTCTCTTGTTTATTGCAGATCAAAAGATATGTCACATTTTTGTTATAATCGTGGTTGTCAAAAAAATTATACATTAACAAATGATCCATCAATAGATGATGTAGCTTGTCAATATCATCCTGGCTTACCTTATTTCCATGATGCTTATAAAATCTGGTCTTGTTGTCAAAAGAAATCACATGATTTCAGTACATTTCTATCTATACCAGGTTGTACACGAGGTGCTCATCTAGGAACTAAGCCCGAAGAACCAGTCGCTCCTCGTCCTAGTGAACAAGAAACACCACCTAAACCTGTTGTCCGTCAAGAATTACCCAAACCACACATACCTACTGTTGAACGACCGTCAATAGATACTCCATTAACTACTATGAAATTCACTGTTGCAACAAGTCTTCAAACAGCACTTGATAAATTAACTAATACACCAAAAGCTGATGGTACACAAAAAGAACAAACAGGTGATGATATTAAACCTGGTACTCCATGTCGACATTCAACATGTACTGCTCAGTATACTACAGTTGAACAAGAACAAGCAACATCATGTAGATTTCATCCAGGTGTTCCAATTTTTCATGAAGGTAAAATAAAAAAATTAATTTTAATGATAAAAAAATTAGAGTAATCGAATATTTTTAGGTATGAAATTTTGGTCATGTTGTCAAAAGAGAACAACTGATTTTGAAGCTTTTACTAATCAACCAGGTTGTACTGAAGGTGAACATTTATGGCGTAGTGAAGCTCCACAATCGACCGATGAAGATGATCCACAAGTTCTTAAAACATCATGCCGTTATGATTTTCATCAACAAGGTTCATCCGTTGTTCTTAGTATATATTCTAAAATGCCACGTCCAGATCAAACAAAAGTTGAATTAAATGCTGGTCGTTTAAAAGTTGATACAAGATTTGGTACCGACATAAAAACCAAACGTTTTTCGAATGAATGGGAATTATATGGATTAATTGATGTTAACCTATCAACAGTTGAATTATTGCAGAGTAAAATAGAAATAATTCTTAAAAAAGCTGAACCACTTAGTTGGTCAAGATTAGATCGACCATTACAATTAAACTAAACGTTTAAAGATATATAATGTTATGTGATTTTAACTTTAAGAAGAGAATAAAAGAACAATAGGAAGTTTTAATCATAAAAAAAAATAATTTTTTTTTACAAATATTTATAATCATTTGAAATTAAATTCAAATTCTAGCAAATACTTAATAAATAAAAAGTAATTTTATATTACATAAATGATTCAATGAATAGAAAGATGCATAAAAAAAACTTTCCATACGAGTCGTACATATTAAATATAGGAAAATCATCAGAATAAATCTATTCGTAGCGCGTCTTTTCTAAACAGATTAACGTTTTATCATGTTTTTTCAAATCGAATTATATACGAAATAAAAAAATGTCGCAAAACTTTTGGTACATTCAATTTACATATAATATTAATATCGGCATATAGTATTTAATGTAATATTGTTTACATAAATGAACAGACAACACTTATATATCGATTGTCATATAAATTCATTATATCAATAATAAAATGCTTGTTTATTTAGTATTAAAAGAAAATATCATTAATAAAAATACTTACATCTAATAAATATCTCCATACAGACATATATTTTTAATTTGTCTATGTAAAAAATGCATTCTTTTTTCATGATCGAAACATCGTCAATAGCTTCGATCAATCCGTCAAAATAGAATACATGCTGTTGCCATCATTCTTTTTTATTATGGCATACATTAGAAAATTGTTTATATAATCTTTCATGCAGTCATGAAGAAAAAGTAATTTTTTTTTCTTTATTAATTTCCTGGATAAAACAAGTTAACTTACAATGTCTTTGTTAGATCAACATCGATGAATGCATAATTTTTTTCTCTTTAATAGAGTTAAAAATATTATTTTTATCGACTAGTTTGACAATGAATGGTATGAAAATTAATAGAAAAAAAGAGATTTATTCTAATTAGTCTATTATTAAGATATTCAACGTTTATTTTGTTGTTGTGGTTGTTTACGATTAAAACAAAACAATCAAATTGCTCATCATAATTTCGATGATCCGACTACATTTTATATTTATTTAGGAATTGATTCATTAAATATTTCAACATCAACATCATTAATTATAGCTGATTTTGGTTCATCTTATGGAAAATATTCTATTCAAACTATGAAAATAATTATTGAATATTTAAAAAAAACAAAAAAATTTCTCGGTATACCATTAATTATTCATAATGATATTATAACAAATAATTGGACAAAATTTTTTCAAGTTCTTATCGATGATAATTCATATTATGGTCTAGCTACCGGACGTTCATTTTATGAACAATGTCTTCCAACAAATAGTCTTTCAATAGGTTATTCATCTGCATCATTACATTATTTATCTAAAAAACCTTGTAATATACATAATCATTGTTATTTTCAATTTGCAAATGATAATGAACGTAAATTATTTCAACATCAATCTAAACTTGATTTTAATTTATTTATTGAACATCGTTCACATGAATTAATATCGGGTGGAATTCTTATTCTTAATATTCCAAGTATAAACGAAAAAGGTGAAATGGGTTTTAATCATTATTTTGATTTAATTTATAAATGTGTTCAATTAATTTCACGACTAACAACAAATGAATTATTAGATTTTACTATTCCATTTTATTTACGTTCATTATCAGAATGTATTGATATGGAATTATTTCATCGATGTTCATTAAAATTAATTAAAGTTGAATTAGTTTGTTTAAAATCATTGATTTTTCATCAATATCGAAATCATGAAATAACACATACTCATTTAGCTAAATCTTTAACAATGTTGATGCAATCAGGAACGGAATTAGCATTGAAACAATCATTACAAATAAACAGGCGATCAAATCAAGAAATAGATGAAATAATAAAGCAATTTTGGCATTTATATGAACAAACAATTAATAATGAAGTATTTGAAAATGATATAAATACTTATGCGACATATTTAATTTTAAAGAAAGAGTAAAATATATTATGCATAATATTTTTTTCGGTTATTTAACACAGCACGAGAGAGTACCAATGAGGTAGACATAAGTACTATATGAATATTCTAGATTATTAATGTTTACATAGAATAATTCACCCAAATACAAATTTATTTTTGAGATTTTCATGAACCTGAAGAATTTCGTAATCGAAATCGTTAACTGTTGGATTATATAATGTTCTATATCGTTCATGAGCATTCATTGTTGATGAACTGAAAAAGAAATATTTATATTTTAAAAATTTTTTGTTTATATCTTACTCTTCATCATTAAAATATAAATCTCGAGCATTCAATGCAGCTTTATCTGCTTGATGAACAACTGATGGAATTGCTTCAGAAGCTGATGATCGAGGATCAGTAAAACATAAAAGATATGTCAGTAATTGTAATTGATCAGCTGTAAATTCAATTTCATTTAAAAGTACATGATAGAGCGAAGGATGATTTACACCTTGATAAGCATTATGCGAATTTATATAGAAATTATGTTGATAAGGATGAACAATAGTTGTATCAATAACACAACCAATTGACATATTATCTGTTTCTTCGATTTGTTTTTTTGATCTCGGATTTTTCTGGATTGCATTTGGATTATAAGTAAAAAACGTGTATTATGACGTTTTTTAACGATAACTAATGTAAGAAGAGGATGTTTACTTTTATCACCATACATATCTACAAAAAAGATTATATATGGTCAATCTGAATAAAAAAAACAAACTTACTATTAAATGCTTGACGAATTGCAGGTATTTCAATGTCAAGAACTTTTGAAAATTGCCCATCATCAACTCCTAAATATAGTTTTTCGATTTAGCGATTCATCAAAGAATAAAACATAGATATTTACCATCTCTATAGAAGACAATTTTATTTGGTAAATGTTGATTTAATTGATAATAATAACTCAATAATTGTTGAACCATTTCTGTCATACCAAGAATTATTTCAATAGAACATTTGCCTTGTTTTGGATATTGTTTACAAACACAATCAGCTGTTGTTGAACACGATGAATTACCTGAACCAACCATTGCTAAACAAAATAAAAAACAATATCATTTGCATTGTTCAAATGCACATTATAATTTACTACCTGCAATAGATGGATGTTGACGTGTAACATTAGTTGGATGTATTACATCTGCACCGAAAAACATATAAAAATCGTTTGCTGTTTTTTTATCCTTTAATGCAACATCCAAATCAACGATTGTATTAATACCACCATTTCTAAAGTTTATTTTTCGAACTAAATTTTCACAATAATTCTTTAAAGATTTTTCATCAGATGGAATTTCAGAAAACGAAGTACATTGAGTCAGAATACCTAAATATTGAAAATTGTATATTGGACTTAAATGAAAATAAATCAATTACCATGTATTCTTATACCACATTTTTTTATATTCACTTTAAGTTGTGTGAGATCGTCTTCATTATTTTCATCCATAACACAAACAATAAATTGACAATTTTGTTCACTCATTCTTCGAAAATATCCATCAATATCAACAAAAGAAGGCTTTACAATATGTTCTTCATGAGATCCGTAAATACTGTAACGTTTCATAACCTGAAATAAAAAAAAATCTATATTTATACTTAAAGAAAAAATGCAAACTTACACCAACTAATGTATCTGTAAAGTAATCAAAATCACTTTTATTTTTAGCAAAATTTGTACCAAAATATGTGATAGCTAAAGTTGATATTAGTTTAGGTACACATAATTGGCCATCAAGAAAAATACGACCATTATCAACACGAGCTGGATGATTTAATCCTGATATAATCTTTGGTGACATCAAAATTCGAGCATCCAATTCCAACATTTCATCATTATCAATACGAAAACCAATGACTTGACAAAGTAAATTTGAATTATAATTACAATCACGAAGTGTACTTCTAATTTTATAATAACGTTTCTCCGGTGTAGGAATATGGTTTCTACCTTCTTGTCCTGACGGTAACTACATAAATATTCAATAATCGTAAATTTATCAATATTATAAAAAACTTACTTCATCATAAACTTGCCATTCTTTAACTTTACAAACTTCTAATGGTAGATGACATGGTTTATCATATTTATTTCGTAAATATACTTGAATACATGGATACTCTGTTTTTGTTAATATAATCTTTTTCTTATCTCGAAAATAATCACTTAATAATTCACCTGATTCGAACGAAATTTCATCAGGTCGTCGATGATCGAATCTATCAAATTCATATTCTGTCTTCCAATTCGATTGTTTGGTAACAATTATACAATTATTTAATATTCGATTTAATTTTTTATAATCTTTATTTGTTGGTATTTGATTATGACCAATTTGTTTATGAATAAATTCTAATAAAGGTATATCAGAATAGAATGTTGTAAGTTTCGTTTGAATATTTAATGTTAATTTTTGAGAAGAAAGATTAAGTGCTTGAATGAAACCATGACGTTGTTTAAAACCATATTGTTTTTCATAATCATCTTCGATTTTAGTTGATTCAGTATTCAAAAAATAACATTTATTTTTAACAATTTTGATGCGATTTTGAAGTGATCGTTTTAAAAGAGTTTCAATAATACGTACTGCATCGTGTGGAAATATTTTTGTTCTCCCATTAATATAATCGTTGATATCATTTGTTGACCATTGATTTGATAATGATTTAATATTAAGTCGATGTTGATTATTTTGATCAAGCTTTAAATATGGTGTTGATAAATATGATGTACTATAGAGACATTTTTGTTCATCATACCATACAAAAACATTTGGTTCTAACTGATGATCCGAAATAAATGATTGCATGATAATAGCACATCGTGAACGACCTTCACATTCTTTCCAAACATTAGATCTAGTATCCATTTCTTCAATAGCAACATCATATTGACAAAGTGTAATATTATTATAGAGTGAAAATGTAAAATGGTTGGTATACAAATGTTCTTTTGAATTAGATGAATTCGTTGAAAAAGAACGAGCTGGTATTTCAGATGAACTATGATTTCGTTCATTTACTACAAATGCTTGAGTATAATTTGATGCCATGATAAATAATTTTCTTCTAAATGAAGTACGTAATTACTTTATATAATTATATATATGTTAGACGAAAATAAAATGATATTCAGTATATATTATATAATAATCTTTTAAAAAAACCTGCTACTAAAATGTTTTCTCTTTTGATAGTATTTTAATAAATTTGGAAACAGACGACAAACTTGACTTACTGAATTTTATATTGTATAGTTAAATGTAACGAGAATTTATATTGACATGCAATATCTTTTATAGGCAGAAAGCACTGGTATTTATCCGGTGACGCATATATTCACGAGTATCTATCAGAAATCTTGCAGTGGATACATGCAATTTATGTGTAATGTTATCGAAAGATAAAATAAGTGTATGTATTTAGATAATGAGTCATTGACTAGAAAAAAGTGGATAAAAAGATACAGAGAAGTAAAAAACAATTTCTAGTGATGACGGGTGTGGGTGGGGATAACACATATAAATAGCACCCACACACACACCCAATTTTGGTATACTCGCCTTGCGTTTGAACGAGTATTTTTTGATGTTCTGTTACTAAGATTATCGTGATGTAAAATGAGAACTTTTAATGCAAGCGTCGAGAAAGTATAAAAAAAGGAGAAAGAAAACTCGCGCAAAACTATAGAAATGCTTTCCTTCGCATCGCATTAATTTCAGGTATAGAAACCCATGCAAATGCTTGTTCGATGAACATACTGCTATAGATACTCATAACTCGTATTATACAAAACTCATCATAGTTGAACTAATAAATTCTTTTTTTAAACAGTATTATCAGCATTAATTGTATAGGCAAACTATTGATATAAAACAAGTTTTAGCAGACGTTCGTTTTTGAATAGTTTCTATTGAGTTAAAAAACACATTATGACATATTAATGCATTTAAAAAATACGATTAACGATCATTGGTTAACATTATACAACCAATTGGAATGATCGTATTTCGAAAGAATCTTTTAAATTTTACTTTTTTTCAAAAAACTCGAACGTAATGGCTTCAACATGTTTTCCCGATGTTTTAAATCCATTTTGTCGTCAATCGATATGCGTTTCAGCATGCTCAGATCAAATAGCTCTAGCAACATCATCATCTTTAGTCTATCTTTACACATTTTCAAATCAAAATTTAGTATTTAATACGAAATTTTCTCCGCATTCAAAATCTTTATCATGTATGGTATATCATCCAACTATTCCTGGTCTATTAATTACTGGTGGTGCACCAAATTCTCGTATAATTCTTTGGTCAATCGAAGGAAAAATCATACAAAAACAAGCATCATTTAATTTACAACGAGTAAGTAGAAAAATTCTTTTTCTTTTAAGGTACGTTTTAATAAAATTTCTTGAATTAATAATAAATTCATATTATTTATTCCAGAGACCAAATGCATTAATCTGGTTATCAAATGAAGAATTAGTTATTGGGGATGAACATGGAAATATTTATCGATGGAATGAAAAAGAACAAAAATTAATTAAATTTATTAATCAATCATTATCCGATAAACAAAATGATGAAGTTCAACTATTTGCTATTGCTAATAAACAAAAATTTATTATGGCAGTTGCGTAAGAAAAAATTCATTCGACAATATTTTCGAATATTTTAATTTTCTGTTTATTTAGATACAAATCAGGTTTTATCTATATTTGTCATGTTGATATTGAGAAAAATCAATTAAATATGTTACATAAAATATTACCTGATTCAGCAAACACAATATGTTGTTCGATACAATTCGCTCATTCTGAATGTCCATTAGGTAATCATATTTGATTTTTGTTTATAGAAGAAAAAACTATAAGAATTTTTAGATCGTAGTACACTTTTCTATATAAGTTATGGACATGGTTGTATAAAAGTATGTGATTATACAAATGGAAAAATTCTTGGACAATTAATGCTTGTTAAACAAACGAAAAATATGATTATGAATAATGATTCAAGATGCAAAACTTATTATCCACTTGCTTGGATTGATGCAAATACTTTGCTAACTGGAAATCTTGAGTAAGAAAAATCTTCTTCACATTATAGTAGATATGAGAAATGAGAAATAACTTTTCTAATATTTATTTTAGTGGTTATTTAATCAAAATTGATATTCGTCATTCATCACATTTAGAAAAATCTCAGCTGAATGTTACACCAGCAGTATCAGGTGGTAAACCTATTTTTTCTATTGTTATCAAAGATGATAAAACTTTATTTACATATTCATTTAATCGAAAGGTAAATTTTTATTTATTGTATTTTATTTAAATCAAATATATATTTAGTTATGTATTTATGATCTTCCATCATCGACATTAATAAATTCTCTTGTATCAATACCTGGTTCGGTTAATGTTATACAAGCATGTCCTCTTCAAACAAGTTCGAATTAATATATTTACATTATTTATTTACCTATTTATATTTTTAGGCTGCATTGCGTTAGGTGTTGATACAGGAAATATAGGTGTATTAGATTTATCATTATCAAATTCACCTTCTCTTTCATTTCTTTGGCAATCAATTCCAGCTGATGTTTGTCATTTAGCTTGGCATCCTATTCGGGAAGGTCGAATTGCGTATTCGACACGTTTAGGTCATATTGCACTTTATGATACACTTACAGGACGTTCACGTGTTGTTTATGATTGCAAATATACTCAACCAGGATCACCAATAAATGTACTTTGGGGTCCATTAGTACCTGCTTTTACAGAAGATCGAACATTAGCAATTCTTTATTCAATTGGAGATGGAAAATTTCATCGATGGGATAGTCCAGAGAAAAATTGTTTGCCAGCTGATCTTACATCATTAGTAACTGAAGTAAGAATGAATGAATATAAAATCAAATAAATAATTTATTTATTTTAGTCAAGTAATACTTCAGTATTAACCGTTGGTTTCAGTGATGATCATAAATATTTATCTATTATTTGTTCTGATAGGTATAAAATGATTTTTTTTAATTATTCTATAGAAATATTTTATATTTTTAGTTCTTTATTTGTACGTTCATGTCCATCTTTATCATCTATGCATCGGTTGTCTATTAATTGTTTACCTACTCTTCTTTATTATCATCCTCGATATTTATTATCATCTACTGATGCATCATCGAAACAATATTGGATTGCTGTTAATGATAAACATAATATTCGATTAATTGATACTTCAGGTAATTTATTTTGAAGAAAAAAAAGTTCTTTTTCTCTAGTTAATTACTATTTATTTCATTTAATAGAATCAAATTTATGTATTCTCAATGATCTTATTGGTCATACAGGTGATATTGAATGTTTAGCATGGAGTCCATCGGTTGATTATCTTCTTGCATCAGGTTCACAAGATAAAACTATTCGAGTATGTAACTTTTGTTTTTAAATTCTTAATCTAATCTATTGATTTATTTCGCTATAAAATTTAGTTATGGAATGTTGAAACTATTACTCCATTAAAAGTTTATATTGAACATTCTGATATTGTTCTTTCACTTATATTTTCATCATGTGATACAAATTATATTCTATCTGGTTCACGTGATCAATCATTACATATTTGGAGTATTGAACAACATACACAATTACCAGATCAAACAATACCTATTAGTACTATTGAAGATGAAGATGAAACAAATAGTAATAATGGAAATAGAAAACGACATAATAAACCAAGACCGAATAGAGCTGAACGTGAAAAAAAACGAGCTGCAAAAGTAAAGTTATATTTACATTAGATAACAATATTATTTAATTATTTATTTCTAGACTACAGTGAGTAATGGTCAAAATGATCTTCTAGTTTCATCTACGAATAGTATTATGAATGAATGTAAGTTATAGATTATTTAATAGAAATATGTTATAGAACTTTTTTCTTTTAGTAAATTCTTTGTCTTATCGTTTATTATGGCCATTGGAAACGGATCGTCAGATGATTTCAGGTATAAAATTTTTTTTCGTTTGAAATTATTATAAATATTTTTCTAGATTTATCAACATTACCAGACAGAACAAGTTTGATTGAAAGAATAAAACAACAAGGTATGTGTCTTGATTAGTTTTCTTCATTTGAATATCGTCTCGTATTTAGATTTTGATTCAACGAACAGTTTTATTTATCATTTATTGTATTGGTCAGGTGAGAATACTCAATTGTTAAATGAATTATGTAAACGAAATACAATATCTTCAAATCAACTCTGTTTTTGGATGACTATTTTGAATAATTCAAATGATGTTCAATCATTATATAATCGAACATTTGATTGGATAAAAGAAAATAATGAAACTCATACATTAGAATATATGACAATGATGATTAAAGAAAAACGAAATCAAGATTTATTAGAATATCTTATTAACCAGGATTATATTGAGTATGTATTGTTCTTGTTTGTATTCTTCATTTTCTTATTTCATTTCTTTTGAAGGTCTTCACTTCTTTTGGCTATATTATTGGAATGTATTGATCAAATTCGTGATCGTATACCAGCTTCATTAGAAACGGAAGATACTTAGTTGTTTTTGATACCCGTGCTCTTTTTTTTTATTTTAAACTAGGTTGAAATAAAAAATATAGTTATTTCGAAGTTAATTTTCAATTCATGTCAACATGAAAAAGAAGCTCTCTTAGTGTAATCATTACATCTAGTATATCGAGTAAAGCAACGAAAGGGTTTAATAATCGAATAAAAAGAAACATTAAAAGATTTTTTTAATTATTTATTACGTTGCACTTTTCATTGTATTTATACAAAATGTTCTTGTTATTCAAAAATACAATTCTTAAAAACAATAACGCATTATAAGGACATATTTGAGGTATATCATCATGAACCATTCTCCATCTGTTAAAATCACTAAGACTAAGAAACGTCGATCAAATGGTCATCGACGTGTGATTAATTTGTTATATTATTTTTGATTTCTATATAATTTACTTTTTCAAGGTAAAACGTAACAGTAGCAATGTAAGTGTTACTCGAATAAAATCTGTAGCTTCAACATCATCGAAAAACAAAGATAAGATATTAGTAGTGGAGAATGTTGATACAATTCCAGCATCATCTAATAAACCTATATCGTTGTCATCAAGCAAAACAAGAGAAAGACCACTAACTACAGTATCAGTGACAACTATTTCAAATGTTCAATCTATAAAAAACATTACTAATAAATCATCCGGAAACAATACATTACCTCTGCAACAATCGAGTGTATCTAAATCATATATGGCTAAATCCATTCAAGTAAGACTATTCTTTTCTTCATATATTCCAATGCAACCTTTCCTTGTACTTGTCTCAAGGATAATATTAATACACAAAGACCTCCATCATATATTCATCAGCCACGACTTCCATCAAATACGACAACTCAATCATTTGATTCAAATAATAAAACAGTTGGTCTTAGTAGTTTAGCATTTGACATAGGTGATCGTCGAGAAATTTATACCATTGGAGAGAGAAAAGGAAATAAAAACAAAAAATATCGATGTCAAAAATGTCCACGTCGTTATTTTGTGATCTTTGGCTTAGCTGCACTCTTTATTGTCGGTATTGTTATTGCATTACCTATTGCAATAACTGCATCAATGACTACTACTACCACTACTACTACTAGTAATAGTAGTACAACAGGCAAATATTTCAATAATTCTATTCCATATCATATTATGAATTTTATTATTCTTTAAGGAACAAGTTCAACAATATTAACAACCGGTAAGTACTCGAAGATTACTCATAAAACTATAATATTGAAAGAAAATTAAACATTCTACTGTATCGAATCTATCTGTAAACATAGATAATACAAAAATAGTTTCTACATGAGTTTTGTTCTAATTGATATAATATTATTAATATATTTTTTTTTCTTTTTTTCAACATCCAAAGGAAACACTACTACTAGTAAGTAATCCTTCGTTTATTAGTTACTTAAAATTGAAATTTAATTATATCTAGCCGGTACTCCTACAACTACAGCAGCTACTATTAGTAAGTTTAATTTATATTAATATACTAAATTTAAACGAATAATAATTTAGCAATTACATCAAATATATGTACATCACATTTGACAGGCATTACACAAATAGCTCATTGTGATAGTTGTTCAGTAGAATTGACTTATCAATTCTTAACATATAATTACGTAGCAATTGCTAATATAACTCGAATAATATTTGGATTTCGACGAGTTTCTGGTTATTGGGGAGTTGATGATGTTTCAATTCGTAATACAGCATCACCAAATACTGAACTTCTTACTAATGGTGGTTTTGAATCGGGTAATTTTTCTTCATGGACTCTTTGTATTCAAAGTGGATCATCTGGTACGGGATCAGTTCAATCAACATCAAGTAATATAGCTTATAATAATTATACATTTGCTGCTCGCTCAGGATCCTATTATTATTTGGGTGGAGCAATCGGCCAAGCTGAATATATTACTCAAACATTTCCTAGTGTTATTGGAAATAGTTATAATTTTAGTTTTGCATACATTTATGCCGGTAGTGGATCATTAAGTAGTGGCGATTTTTTAGTTAGTACTTGATAAATATTACTTTCCTTTTTTTATAATTTTAATTTTGACAAATTTTTATTAAATATATCTCCATATATACTAATAATCTATAAAAAAAATTGATTAATCTGTTGATTGATAAGAAAATGAATAATACAAAGCCTTGTTATTATTCGTATCTTCTCATTAATTTGCCAAATAAGGACAAAGTTATATTTATTGTAATAAAATAACAAAAAAACAAATAAATCGATTATGTCAACCATTATCATATACAATTATAATTTGTATTCTCCATGATTGTTCTTCTGACGATTTTATATTAGAGGTATGGTTTAGAATGATTATTGGTCGTCTAATAATATTATTGATATGTAACCAATATCTCATTTGTTTGTTTTTGTTATTGCAAAGGATAAGTGAATAATTGTTTCTGTCAACAATCAAATGTGTTGCACAACTCAATCGTAAACGTGTATTTCCTTCTCCATTTCCACCTGCAACTATGTGGGATTCACATTCATATGTGACAATTCGATGATTAAAAGAGTCAGCGTAAATAGTTGCTCGTTTATACAAACTATGACAGAGAATAATTAAAGATAATATATTATCTAATCCATATCCATTCGCAGTGAAATTAAGGTATATCAACCAATATGGATGTCCTATAAAATGTATAGAATAATATATTTAATAATATAAAAAAATATGCAAGGTAAAATTTAAATTTTATATGTCACTTTCCTTATCTATACATTTCATTCATGTTAATATTTTAGATAATCTATCAAATATTCTCTTATATATATCTCCTGTATTTCAGTATATATAATATTCTTACTAGATAACATAATGGTGTGAATCTTGGTAACAGATGGTGTAGAATTTACTTGTGTTATTGTATAGAATAATTTGATATAGTTTTCAGACAATCCAACCAATGATTGTTGTGACTGATTTTTCAACGCATTCAATTTAATATCTATATCGTGAATATATCCATTTGTATTTTTATATTCTTTTTCTGTTTGTCTAGTATTTTGTCTTTTGTGATACTTCCAATCATTCATTTTTTCAATTAACAGCTGTTGTGGTGGTGGTTGAAGGCTACCATGATTAATTTTAAGTTCTTCTAATTGTTTACTCAATGCTTCACGATGATGATTAAATTTATTATAATGAAAATCTTGTACATAATTTCCATATTTGAATATACTGTTATTTTTGCCACTCATAATACAACGATATTCTATTAACTATTGTTGCTATGCGTTGTATGTATTCTGATTATAGTATGTGTGTCTATTGAAAAACGAGAATGTAGAAGCAAAAAAAAAGGAGAAAGAAAAGAAAGTCATTCACTTTTTGCCTTCTTTTATCAATACTAAAGTATAATTGCATGAGTCAAGTTAAGTATAGGGTAAGATAAAAGCAAGAAACGAAACACATTTTCTTATATAAATTTCGTGCAATGAAATGATTGGTTATTTATTTATTAATCTTTATGATTACCTTTTTCGTTTTTTGATAGCGAATTTATATATGTGTTTGTTATGATAGCATTGCGAAGACATACAAATCTTTCGTTAGACTCTATACAGACTATTATCATGATTTAAATTCTTCATCTTTAGCACCGTACAAAAAAATGTGCGTAGTTAATTAATACGAATATATGATTATATTTTAATTTCACATTATAATCGTCTTTTTAAATTATGAATGAAAACATGATCAGCAATGATTTTCAACAATAACTCTATACCTAAAATACCAAGAATTTACCATATGTACATCGTCATTATCTGAAAAACATATTATTTTCAATAGTTAATGTATGATGTCCATAGATTGTTAAAATATCTGCTTGTTCTGTCCATGAACCACTTGTAGCATAACCACATTTCATAAAAGTATTATTTCGAATAGGAATTCGTTCACTATATTTTCCTTCACCCCATCGTAATGCTGATTGCATAACAAGACCAGCCATAGAACTACCGCTAATTAAATTCGATTGAATAAATGCATCATGTACTTTTTCTAATATTCTACGAGCACGATGAGTAAGAATAATATTTCCTTGTAAAATATATCCAGATTCAGTTTGATTAATATCCGAAGTGGGCGTGGGTGTCGGTAGATGTGGCTATTCTACTCCACCCATATCCATACCCTCAAGATTCAACTGATTTGATAATTATTTATTGTTTAATTGATATTAGACAAACAGCAAAAAGTTTTGCATCGAAACATACAGAGATTGTTTTATTTTTGGGAAATATAGGTAGAATTTATTACAAGATGCAAAAATGGCAAGATCCTGCTTTATTACTTTCAAAAAGCATTGTATATAATTGGATTAAACATTACAAGCAATCGTAATGATATTGAAGAAATTCAAAATATGGTGGTTCCCACTGAACGGCAAATGGAAAAATATAAACAAGAACGAAATGAGATAATAACAAATGTTACTATCAAGGGTAACAAATTAAATGGAGAAATTAGCTCAAAAGCAGACGTATCAGCTATTACAGTACAGCCTAATTTGACGATGGTAATTCCCAGCTACTTGTCTAGGGATAAGAAAAATGTTTGGATGTGGGTGATGGCAAGACAAGTATCTTATAACCACACCCTGAACTGTATGAGACTGTGATAAGTACATAACAAATACTTGAATATTTCTTCTGATTTACTATCAAATATTGTAAGAAAAATAATCTTAATACTAATCATTATAGCAAAAGTATTCGGCAAGTAAAATAAGGTAAGACTTATTGATGTTATAGCTGGAATACAATATCAACAAAGAAGTTTATTATTAGAGTTATACGCTAACAAATTTACTTTTATTTCCACTACATTGTATGAATGGCTTGAATACTGTATATCTTAAAAATTATACAATAGGATTAAGAAAACAAAGATAATTCTAAGTTTGTGATTGTTTTGAAATTGGAACATCATTGATACTTTGTGGAAATACTACTTCTTGGTGATTTTGTTCTGCTCGAAATGCACTACTGGCATCATATAATTTCTTACGAATACGATTAATAGATCCAAGTGGACGATGTTCTTCGAGACCTGCCCATGCATATAATCGAATATGATCTTGCCACCATTGACAAAATTCAGGATCGAATGCTTCCTGTTTAGGAATATCTAGAATTGCAACTGTATGAAAGGGTGCAGCAAGTTGAGACCATTCTATACTGGTATCTTCAACTGGCTGTAAAGTTATATCACTACAAAATTGAACACGAAATTCATATTTAGCATCATAATTATGAAAATAATCTCGAATCCAATCACTTAAAGTTGTCGAAGAATCAGTATCTTTAACTTTCTGAGATTTCGTTTCGAGTTGTACTTTAGCAATTGGAAAGAGTGCATATTTAACAACGTAATCTCCATAACGATAGGCTGCCTGTGAATACATTTCTTGTCCCATAATATTCGTATTTGCAAGTTTTATTCTTGCTAACTGTTTCTGAGAATCATCTCTTTGTTTTAGAGCCTGTTTTAGTCCTTCAGAATCATCGAAATAAGTGTTACGTAAACATTGAATATCACGGCATACAGTCGCATTTGTTAATTCTAATGTAGGAGCGTTGTTGAAAAAGAAATCCTGTGTATTTATATTCTCTTCTAGTAACTTTGACCCTAGAACATTGAAAACTTTCATACCTAAACCACGTGGTGCTGGTATTTTATCATCTTCAATTTGTGTTGGTTCACTTGCATAACGAAGAATAACAGGATATTTTCCGGGATATCGAAAAAGTCCTTGACTTAGATGAGCTGGCAAATTAGCTGGTACTATTAATGTACCTTTAACTACTGCTTGAGTTTTCGAATGTGTACCACGTAATCCATGTCCATGTTTTCCAAAATTCTTTTCTTGCATAGATCGAAAACTTGCAATAATATCATTGATTTTTTCATCTTCATCTTCTTCAATATGTTCAATAGATGGATCATCATAACGTATTAAATGCTTTGGATCTTCGCCAACTATAGCAGCTTTTACCGTTTTCATTGCTTGTATCATTGCTTCACTCATTGTTTAATGATCTATATCAAAAAAAGAATGAATTTAATAATATGTTATTTTTCATCGAAAACAATAGTTTTTGTTATCTCAAAGATTAACATAACGAAACAAGATTATAATTACTATAAATATTGCAGCTATGTTATCTTATCAATATGTATATTAGATAAAAAACGTACAAATACAAAGAGCATGGGATATTAATAACTGTTACACATGAATAAATCAGCTTCGATCACGATAAAGAAAAAAAAAGAAAAGAAAAAGAGACAAAAATATTATATTCACATGAAGCACATGTTCAGATTAATCAATTCATTTTAAATGATTTATAGAGAAGTCATTCATAATGACAATAATAAAACAATGGAGATGGGTGTGAATGAATACGAAACACTCACATCTTCGATGATTTTCTTTTATTTATATTAATACAGAATACAATAATCAAAGTCAATATAATTAGTTGTGGCTAATAAGTCAATTTTTAAGTAATACTGTTATATTAATTAATGAAAAATATTGTCATATGGAATGTTTCGTTGTGTATATTATAAACATACATTTTTTTTATTTTCCAGTTTTATAAGTGAATATTCGAATGTAATTATTAAAAATTTGAAACCAGATAGAATCTAAGTAATACTATGAAAATTATGACAAGGTAAAAAAACAAATTTCATTAGGATAGTTTTTCTTGGATCTATTTGATTGTTTACTTTTTTCAAACTTTTAATTAGACTAATGTGTTTTTCTGAACATTTAAAAATAAATCTATTATCATTCTGGATTATTTACCAGATTCACAACATATTCTATTAAAAATATATAGTTTAGTATTGCTTTTTTTCAGTTTATTCTCATGTTCGGTATTTATGCAAAGCATGAAAAATATCTTACGCCTAGAATATGGTATATACAGAGAGAGATATTGGGTGTGGGTGTGGGTAAAGATACGGGACACTCACCCAACACTCGCACCCATCCACCTTCGAATACAATAAAACTAAAAACTTTTTCGTTGCAAACACATGACTTTAGCTTCAATTTAATTTGTTGAAGATATAAGATGAACTACTCGATGAGTTCCTGAAGTTAGGATGAAGTCGGTTGTCGTAGATATTCGTCAGTTCATCCTCATACCCTCATCCCACTCTCAAGACAGTTTAGGAATAACATTCTCCATTGTATAATCACCGGTGATTGAAATTTGATTTTCAATGAGAAAAAAAGCAAAGGTAACCTGATATGATTACTTGAATTAAATCGAAATAATATGTTTGACATCAAATCTTTTTTCATCAAATTAATTATTTTCAACGTTTCGTACGTATTTATCGTTTTTTTCCAGTTAATCTCTTAGATTGTTTTTGTTTATATCAATTTACAAATCTTTTCTCTTCCATCGATGTATATAAGTCAATCAAATTTCTGGTAGTTTCATATTCATTGAAACTAATAATCAAAGAATGTGGACTATTTTTTATACTATTCTTCTTATTGTTTCAATAACTGAAGCTAAACCACGAACTGATGTCACAGTCTCAGGTTTATCTTCTGGTGGTGCAATGACAGCTCAGTTACATCTTGTCTATTCATCTACAATTAGTGGAAGTGGTGTTCTTGCTGGTCCTCCGTATTATTGTGCTCAGGGTAGTTCGACTAGAGTTGATGAGTGCTTGTATGGTCCAGCTAAATGAATTCCTGTAGAAAAACTTATTAGCCAATTACAATCGTATGTGTCAGCTGGTACTGCTGATCCAACATCAAATCTTAAAAATGATCCAGTATATATATTTTCTGGTAGATATGATCCTGTAGTTTTTCCAGATATTGTTAAACTCAATCGAAAAGTTTTTTCATCATTCGGTACTGATATAAAAACTAATTACGAGATGCGGACTACTCACGGGTATATAACAGATAATTTTGGTGGACCATGCGAATTTCCTGATTTAAAATACTTCATTAATAATTGGTATGTAACAAAAATAATAGAAAATTAATTAAATTAACTTTCTGTTTTTTTTTCTCTTTTCAAATAGTTCTTTTAATTTGGCTTATGATGTATTAAATCATATATTTGGTGGAAATCTTACTAAACCTACAAAATCAGTGCCATTGACGGGTCAGTTTCTTACTATTGAACAACCAGCACTGATGAATCCAGAATCTGTTAATATAACAGTTTTAAAACACACGAATATTTTTTCATACTGGGCAAACTGGTTAAAAACATCAACGAATACATATAAACTTCCTGGTTCAATTGAAATATCATCTGTTGGTTCATCTAGTTTTGATAAAGAAGGTTATGTTTATTATCCAACAAATTGTACTAAAGGAGAGAAATGTCCAATTCATGTTGCTCTTCATGGATGTGAACAAGGTTCGAAGAAATCTTGTTCTTTCGTGTTTATATAGGATTTATTCTCTTTACTTAGGTAAATGGCGTATTGGTGATGTGTTTGCTAAGAAAACAGGTTACTTGGAAGTTGCGGAACTTAATAATATAATTATACTATTTCCACAAATTATTGCAACACATAGTGACCCTTCGAATAAAGAAGGTTGTCGGGATTGGTGGGGTTATACTTCTTCTAATTATGCTAATAAATTAGGTGCAGAAATGGCAGGTGTCAAGAAGATGATTGATAGCTTACGAGCTATTAATGATGCTTTAGATGTATAAAAAATTCATTTTGACACTTTGTCAGAAATAAAACAACAACAAAAGTTAGATGTGATGCAAAAGTTTCTGTAGGAATATGGAAGTTTATTTAAGTGCTCAGACTGGAAACAAAAAAGGATTTCTACGAAACCAAAAAGAAGATTTCGCACTTTGTAACGAATTCAAAACTCTTGAGAGCGTGGGTGAGTGTAATTGAAGAAGAAATATCCATACTCACACCCACATTCTCAAGATATATATTCGAACGAAGAAATTTAACCCCGAGTGATCATGGAGGATAGTTGTTGGGACTGTTCAGAAAAGGGTGTCTGTTAAAATAAAAGAAATCTTACTATGAAAACTCCTACCGTGAATTGAATGTCATGATGAAGATGTTTTTACAAAGAAGAAAACAAACAACCATGAATGATACATTCAACTACTTAGCGTCATAGAATGACGTCTGCTGACGATAATAACTACGATGTGAAAAAATAGATATTCTGAGAGTGTAATTGTCTTAATTTTATTTCACGCTCAAGACGTATCTGATAATATCTTCGTAGATTCAAACCTTAAAGTTTTATTATGAAGGAAATATCACTATTGATGAATATGCAACACAATTAAATTCGACGTTTCGACTACATTTACGAGAAGCAGAATTTTATCTCAAGAATTAAATTAAATTAAATATTCGGGTGAAGAAATGAGACTTTCGTATTATTTAAGTGCAAATATTCTATAATTATCTTTTGAGATTAGTAATAATCAGTGTTAGATAACATGTAGGTTATAAAATTTAAAAAAATCAGTTCGATCGTTTTGACAATTTAATCCAGACTTGTTCAGGAGAAATTGTAAGTTCTTCCTTTTTCTTCATTGACTGATTATTCTGGTCCGATGGTTCAATATGGAAATTGTGGATCATCTCGATGAGAAAGAGTTTGAGTTCAACTATTCAAAAACAAAAATCTTATATCAATGAATTACTTCTATCCTACCAAATGCAAATCGAAGACCAAGACATTGCCGAGGACCAGCACCAAAAGCTAATAAAGCTAGTGGATGACGTTTCGTCATGTGCCTCTCCAAATGAAATTCATCCGTGGGCAAAGGTCCCCATAGTGTTGAATCATAATGGATTGTGTAAACATCAGCTTGCACAAGACTACCTATACCAAAGAAATATATCGATACGTAGTTAAATACAAATTCTATTATCAATTTGGAATTGTATTCCATATATTACCTTTAGGTATCTTATATCCCTGTACTTCTGTATCTTGAGTACATTGTCGATTAACAAACTGAACAGCAGTTGGATTCATTCGTAGAACTTCTTTGATAAAAGCATCCAAATAAATATATTTGGATAAATCATGTTTGCTGAGATGATCTACCGTATTTTCATTTGAGTGTGAATTGATTAAAATTTCTTTGTAGAGTTTTTCTTGCAAATCAATTCTGTTTGCGAGCGTATGAAGACAATAAGCAAGAACTGTTGATGGTGAATCGAAACCGGAAACCATAATTACAAATACATGACTTAACAGTTCCTTCAGAGAAAGTTGTGCCTAGGTATGAATATAATTTGATTTTGACTCTTGATTATCTTTCAGATATATAAAATTATATAAGAAAACTATTTTGAGGGTATGCGTGTAATTGTGGGTTATGGTGTACGTAAGCACCCAAATTTCTGAGTATGTGAAATTACCTTCACGGCAGTTTTTCTTTCGAAAAATCGAAGTATGAGAAAAAAATCAGTTTCTAACTATTCAGTATTATGAGCTCCATAGGACAGCTTTTCTTTCAATAGTATGATGTGTAAGAAAATGCTTTGTAATTAATCTCGAGCGCTTTTTAAAACTATACCTTTTCTGGATCAGCTGCTGCTTTGATTAATAGTTGAAGAACATCCTTGCAGTTATCATCATTTTGGTGTTTTTCAGACTGTAATAAACGTTCGTTGACTAAATCTTTAGCATTCTCAATAATCCATAGATTAGCTGGTGTTGTTATTAGACCAATTGTGCGAAAAATATGAAATAGAAACGCCCAAAAGCGTCCAAAACCAGGTAGAAAACGATTTAACATGGCTAATGGAGTTCGATCAAAATCACGAACAAATATTTCCATTACTTTTTGTAACCATATATTTGATGAATTTCCTTGCACTTCTGTCTCAACATCGAATGCACATCGACCTATGCATATAAAAGATACAGTCTGTAGCTGAATAAAATGAAACTATTTCAGAAAAAGTACACTATCGAATGAATTTTAGTAATTGCTAATTTCAAACTCATTCTTTGTATATCGTTTATGCCCACAACAGCAATTAGACTTACATATAACATCTAATGTGAATTGTTTTAGTCGAGGAAAGATATTAATATCACCATTGTTTGATAAATGAACAAAATTTTTGACACATTCGTCTATTTTTGTAGACATTTTCTGTAGTTTCACATACGAGAAAGCTGATATAAGTATTCGTCGATGACGACGCCATTGATCTCCATTTGATGCGAATACATGTAAACGATCCTGACCAAGTATATGCGTTAGAAGAGGTACATGACGACCCTGAAATTTGCTAAATTGAGTGATAAATACTTCTTGTAAGAATGAAACATCCGAAACAATATAAACTGGACGTGTGCCTGTAAACAGAAGAAGACAAAATCATCAGATATTATATTTATATTTCATGATTATGACACTAAAGAAAGGATCACAACACTATTCAGATAAAACTATAGTCATTCGAAAATGATACAATACCTATCTGGATATGTAAACTTATAAAAGTATCATTACCATTAAGACCGATAAGGATTGTATTTCACAATGTTTGGTTTTCCGCATATACCTAAGTGGGACAATAATCTTTCGAAATCTGAATCTGTATAGAATTCTATCCTTCCTTGTTAACTTCTTACCTGTACTGTATTATTCTTGATAAAGAAATAAATCTATTACGTCTGTGCTCCTAAGTTTGTGTATGGAAGTCTTATGTTGATAGTTAAAACTTAATTTGCTATATGATAAAAACGATTTTGAAGATCTGATAATCTACTCTTGGTTTAAATCAACCACAAAAGGGGTGGAACCAAAGTATATATACGAGAGGAAGAGAGAGACCAATGAACAAAGAAAGTTAGCGACAACATTGCATCATCTGTTGACGTAGAAATACAAACGATATAACTCACCTGCAACTAAACCATATATTGATCCGTATTGTTTTGTCCATTGACACAGTTGTTCAGAAAACCGTTCAGCATTCCAAAGGATTGTAAAATGTCCGTAAAGATAAGATGAAAGAGGTAGAGTTGCAATACCTTGACGTATGAAGAATATGTGATAATATTGAATTAAGAATACAAGATAGATAATACAGCTGATGATTAGAAGAAATAAAGCCAATAAGAGATAAAAGAACATGATTTTACTTTTGCCAAAGGATTTTTTCGATTTTTTATCTAAAAAATATGAAACTAAATGAAACGTTTTGTGAAGAAACTATTATGAAATGATTTGCTATAATAAAGACAGAGTTAAATTGATGGTTCCACGTTTCTTTTGATGACAAAGAATGTTGAAGCACAGCTTTTAACGTTTGTTTAGTTATTTTTCATCATTGATAAACATATTTTAAGGGTGTGCGTGTGGGTGTGGGTGTGGGTGAGTATTGTAGTTCCTATACCACAGTTATATCCACATCAACCCTTAAAAATACCTATGTAGAAAATTGTTTGAGTCGATACTTAACTTCTTTTTCCTTAAACTGATTTGATTGATTTTACTATTTTTGAGTACCCCTAAGGAATTGATAAAATTAAAAAAACTGTACTAACATTCTTTTATTTGATCTTGTTGTCTTCTTAATTTATTTGATTATTAAATGGTAATACGAAATAATTTTCTTTCAATCAAAGATTATCATAAAAATGCACTCGACAAAGCGCTTTGACCTTATGATTAATAATTTGATGTTGTTTATCAGTTTTTGTTTCGATAGTTTTGTATGTAGCCAATAAAATTAATAATTACTAGAGGAGACGATTAGTGGTAGTTTCTGTTCAACAAAACAAAACAGGAATAATGGTATATGAAACCAAAACGAAATAAAAATTTATTTTTCTATAAAAATAAAAGCTAGTATTTTACAAATAGTAATAGTTAATTATTCTCAGATGCTTTGACAAATAATATTTATTTCAGTTTTAAACATAAATAAAAGTATAAAAAGAAGGACCATACGTACCTCTATTTGAATTTACAGTATGTGCATCATTTACTTTTTTGTCCGAGTATTTATTCTTACTGATCAATAAGGTTATTATCTAATGAGTACTATTTTTTATACACGTTGGGTGATTGTGCGACTGACATATTTAGAAAAAATATTTTATTAACGAAATAAATAACGTCAAAAGAGCATTATAGTCATATAAATTTTATGAATAAGATTTACAAACATGACAATTATCTCTATAATATCGACAAAGAAAAAAAGAATAATATTGGTTTCATCGAAATGAAAATATATCCACGTTGTAACAATACGGTTTTGATTTTTCTTTCTTTTCTTTAGTATGGATATTTCTCTCACCTATCACATTTGTGATCATTTTTATAATAAAAGAGATACAAAAAACAAGTGTATTTCAAGTACTGTTGTAAATTATCAAGTCATTCATTTACATCTATTTGTAAATACTCTTAGACAATTCAAAGATGATTTCATTGGATTTTCGACGATCATCGAAATATTTTCTATTAGCTGCAAATGTCACTATGTAAATATAAAGTGTGTATAAGAATTTAAATCCTTTCCACTTTTTGTCGAAAAAACGAATATAACAGAAACGAAAAACTGAAAAAAATTATAGATCAAAGTTTAATAACAATTTTATAACCAGTTATCTTTTTATAAAAGTATTCGATAGTTGTTAAATGTTTCTACTAATGATATGTATTTCGTTTAAATTATTTCAACTTTTTTTTCTTCTTTCAATAGAGGCTATCATTCACTTTTTTGTTTAAGTATATATTTTTACTGATCGACAATTTAACAGCGGTACCATCATTATTTTCAGTAATGTGCATTATTATTTCTTATAGATACTATATGAGAATATATATATCATATAGACTCTAAGTTTTTTCTTCGTTTTGGGGTGATATTTAAAGAAATTCGACTGAATCAATATCCAAAATAGGAAAATATGTCTTTATTACAAATTCAACTACTTATTCTTAAATATTTAATTTATTTCACCAGAAGATATCTTTTCACTGATTAACGAAGAAATGATTTAACTAACAAACCTTTTTTTATTTGAATATTACGCATATTATTTAAGACACATACTTTTAATGGGTGAAACGATGTGAAAAACAACAATATTACTTCGATTTAGTAACGACGAAATATATGCATGCACGAACATGACTCAGTAATTTATTGTAAAGAAAATCATAAGAGAACAAAAAAAACACCGTTATATAGTATTAACGTGGCGTCTTTTCTTTTTTTCTGTTTCGAACTTTTTCACCTTTGATTATTATGAGATATACGTCGAAAAAAAAGTAATTTTTCAATGAGAAAGAAAAACGAATTGCTGTTGTATTGTATGAAATCAAATATTATGTTGTTTAACTTTTTCCTTAAATTATTTACAGATTAATAAAAGAAAATACAATTATCTCTAGCCTCCATTCTATTCGAGATAAATGAAGCAACTATTTCTGCTTTCAATTTAATTTAAAACGTTAACAATTAATCAAATCAAACAAAGAAAAATATCTAATTTTATTTTTTAATATTTAACAAACATTTTATTATTTCTAACCTAATTAACAAATATATTCATTACCATCAGAGAATATAACTAAACAATTCTTGATTATAATATAAAATTAAAATCATAAATTGAGTTTCGAGAATCGAATATTCTCTTTATACAATAAAAAAAATTATAAATTCTTAATATAGTAGAAGTATTTAAAATTATCATAAAACAACACTTTTGGGTGTGGGTGAAGATAAAGTAGAGACACTCACCTAGACCCATATCCTCTATATCAGCTTTTTATCGAAAAATAGTTTAAAAAAAAATCTAACGGCGAGTTTGCAGTTAGATTAACAATTATGCCTCAATTTTTGTTCAGATATGAAAATAATGTTTCTGAAATTTCCATGACATCATGGTCAACAGAATCATTACAGTTGGCTTTATTTTTAGTTTCTGATTCATCACTATGAACTTCGTTAATTTTAATTTTACTGTATTCTCTGGCTGTTACCATTTGATTTACATAAGAAATAAAAACGCGTAAAGTTTCAGTCATAAGTATTGTTACGTTTTTTTATTTAGAAGTCATATAATTTATTACTAAGGAGTAAGCAAACGAAAAAAATAAAAATGAATCCACAATGGAAAAGAAAGTATGTGAAGATAAGTGAAAGATGATGTAAAGAAAGAGAACAGGAGTGATCGGTATAAGTGCAGAAGGGAAAAGTTGAATAAGGCTACATTACGAATTGTTTAGAAGCTAGATGTATACGCATACTGTCCGTCTTCTAGGGGGTTAATAATAGTAAGAGCAGTAGTCAAATCCACTTCAAACGTGTCGATAACACATCTAATATTATCAGTTTGACTGGAGTGACAAATTCTTATTATAAATCCTGTCTCAAAAGTTATGTTCAGAAATTTTTATTGATTCTGTCTTTCTATCTAGATATTCATTCCAAATCCAATGAAGAATTAACAAGAGAAGAAAGCAAATCAATCAGTTATTGATAAAATAATTGATTATCACATGAATAATATTTATTTTTATAAGTAATTGCAAATATAAACAATTAGAAAAGAAATGTTTATTAAAATGAAACATCAAGATGTGTCTTCGTCATGAATATGAATAGGTCTAATTCATATTTAATATCTTTATTGTTTTGTAAAGATATTTATTGAAATCTTCAAGAATTGTTATAAATATTTTATTTACTATGATTGCAAAGAAAAGTTTAAAAGTTTTTTTTCAATATAAACTTAGATTTGATAATAGATAGATCATAAAGTTTGCAGAGATGACTTGTCTGTATAAAAAAACAAGCCCTAGACGATGATAAAAGTTTGTCATGAAAGAATGACGTCTGTAATAAAATATAGTAATATTCCATTTATCACTTATCTGTAAAAATCATTGAATTTTTATAATAATAACTATAATTTATAATAAAAATGTTATGTGAAATAGCGCATTAAAACAAAAATAAATAAACTAAAAGCATTTTAAATCGACTAGAACAAAGAAATAGACAGATAACATTCTTTTAATGATGTACTTCTATAAAATTTGTAGATTAACCTATTTAGTCAGTCAGTTGTGAATAAGTTGTTGTAACTTTTATATTCGAAGATATGTGTCATAAATTGTGATCGATATTGAATTTTTTTTTATTTTATATATTCATGATAACAATTTAATAATTATTATAACCTATCAATAATTAATGTAAAATATAAATATATAAAGAAAAAAAAAGATTTATTTTTCTATTCTTTTGAAAAATTTCAAAATTTCGACACTAGTTAAATTGAAATTATATAGTAAATAGTTACTCATATTATAGAAAGTATATTAATTTAGTAATCTTATATATTATCAATTAACAGAATCTGAACAAATTTTTAAATGACTTTTTTCTGTTAATGAGTTTTATAAGATAGTAATGATAAATTTTTACAGGTATAAATAAAAAAAGAAGCAATTACGCTATATGAACATATTACTCGAGGTATAAGTCTCATCTTTAATATATATTTTACGCTGTTTGCAACACTTTTTTTTAATTTTATTATTAGTATCTTTATCTTCCTTTCATATTTATTCAAACGGATTTTTCAGTGCATCATTCATTCTAACATTTTATAGTTTCGAGAATGTCGATATCAAACATTAGTTCAAGTAACACCATTAAATATGTTTTTGATGATGGTATTGCTATACCTTATATCGTTCGATTTTGGGTTTTTCTTATTTCAAATATTTTATCACTTATTTGTTGTGTTTTCGTTCTTTATCATTTTCTTTTTGATTCAAATCTTCGTCGTGGTTTACATAATCATGTTATGATTATTATTCTTATTATTTGTCTTATTATGGAATTAACAACTATTCCTTGGGTAACCTATCTTTATCTATACGAAGTTGTTTGGATACAAACACCAACATTTTGTATGATTTGGAAGTTTTTAGATTCAGTTTTATATACTACAACAGCAAAACTTGCAGGATGGGCATCCGTTGAAAGACATATTCTTATATTTCATGATCAATGGG